TTCTTTATTTTTTTTTATTTTTTATACTCTCATTATGCTCTTTATTATTTGTTTATGATGATTGTGAGATAACTTTTCAAATAAAAATTACATGTGTTTATACAGTGAAGAGTAGGGCCACCATTGAAGATTTTTCTAGCCTTTATTATAAACTTCTATTATAACCTCTATTTATAACATTATGATAGCCTACATTTAAGATTTTGTGATAACTATTGTTTAGGATTTTGTGATAGTCACTATTTAAGACTTTACAATAGCCACATTTAGAATAATTTAAAATTTGATTCATGTAGAAATATTAAATGGTTGGCTCCACTCATAATATTAAGCTTTTGGTTTCAAAACAAACTAATTATTATTATGTCGAGGCTAACCACGACTTATAGAAATTTTCAGAACACTGGAAAGATTTAAGCTAATTAAGGCAAATTCATATAAACATTGCATACGCAAGATTAGAATCTAAAACTTCTTGATTGATGGTCAAAACTCCCAACCAAGAGACCAAGATCAGCTGCGTAAAAAGGTAAGTGTTATTTATCAAAAAAAATTATGAGACAGTTTCTAGATTATTCGCATGTAACTAATGTTTTGTTTGCGACAGCTTTTTTACTCTTTTTTAAATCAGCTTTTAGTACAAAATTTCAGTTTAAACAACTTAACTAAAAATTTTTTTTAGAAAAAAAAAAGAAAGCTATACCAAATGAAGCCTAAGTTAATCCTAAAGTATCAAGTTGTTCTAATTTAGTTCCTCAATTATACAAAATTCATCCAAAAATTATTCCTTCTCTTGTAATTGATATATAGCATTTATTCTAATTTAATCATTTGACTATACAAAAATAATCCTAATTTAATCCCAAATGGTCAGTTTTAGATCAATTTTATATAGTTAAAGGACTAAATTGGAGCAACTTGATACTCTAAAATTAAGGCTTTATTTGGGACGGCTTTCTTACTGCTTCTTTAAACAACTTTTTACTAAAAAAATTTAATTTTTATACTAAAAAACTGCTTTAAAAAGTAATAAAAAAACTATCATAAATGAAGCCTAATTTGATGGTATATAAAGTTGTAAATACCAAAAACAGCTTTTGTTTCTGGTAAAATTGAAAATATATATGGCCCACTACAAGAAATTCAAAATTTTTTTTTATTTAAATACAGCCTTTTTCATTTATTTTAAAACAAAATTTAACTCTCATGAAAAGGTTCCGTCTATGTACTTATAAATTTGTTGCTTAATATTAAAAAAATATAATAAAATTAATAGTCACAGACTCACAGTCACGAGGAATAAAGAACTTAGTGATTCCAGTAAAAGATGCTTCTGCATCATTGTTTGAAAATAGGCATTTCTCTTACTTTGTCTTTCATGTCCTTTGGAAGCATTCAGTGAGTTGCTACACATACTTTAAACGTGAAGCCGAATGATACAAATTCATCACTAATCTAGGCTTTTTTTGCGAGAAATTATTTTGTGCGATGCAGAACGGTTTGGAGACCAAACTGAATGCGTTACATCATCCGATACTGAGCGGTACCAAGCACCGGTACCAAATAAAAAAATGATGTGACACGTTATAGTTGGTCTCCAGTTGCCGTCCACTGTACGCACAGAATAAAATTTTCTCTTTCGGGAAAGCATTAGCTTCTTTGTTGAATTTAATTGCAATTGAGAGAAGGTTGAATAAGGCAACTATAACTGACTGTTAAATTACAATCTCGAATAATTATGCTTTTGGTTCATTTCTATTCATGAATAATATTAGTTAAAGTTTATGAGCAAGCTAAATCAGAAGCTCGATATTAAGCTCGTTAAAAACTTTATTAATATTTAATACAAAACTTATGAATAAGCTTGTTAAGAATCAATTAAGTCTTGTTATAAATCTTTATTTGATATATTTTTGCATAATTTTTAAATTTATTATAATAAATTATTCTTACTTTATAAAAAAAAAATATTTTTATGTTTTACTCATTCAATAGAATTAAGTTGCTCATAAACAAGAGATATTTGCTTATGTTTGTTGGATTGTTTGTTTAAAGTGTTTATGAACAAGTTTGTTCAAAAATAATCATTTTTTGAGCTCGTTTGTTCCTGCCGCGCTCGTTCCGTGTCGGGTCAGGTCAACCCGGCAACCCGCCGGGTCGGGTCCGGGTTCAGATATCCGACACGTTTATCTATCCGGGTCAGGTTAGGGTCGACCCGTTTGAACTCGGGTCATTTCCGGGTTCGACCCGAACTCGACTCGTGACACGAAATTGACATCCCTATGCTCGATAAGACACATTTGTTAAGCTAAGGAGCATCTAGAAAATAAAGCCCATTAATAACTCAATAAAGCTCATTTGATTAAAGCTTAATAAGCATGAAATGAACTAAACCATCATGAATCAAACATGAACATCTACCATTTTAAAAAAATCAAGCTTTGACATAGATAAATTTTTTTGAATCGACTCTAACTAAGCTTAAACAATTTGATAATAAACGTGCTCAAACATGAACAAGCATCTACTTAACTCAACTTCGCCTGTTTGCAACCCTAGTTACTAGTATTTTAAAAATACATTTAAATGTGATAAGTTATCAACTTAATGATCTTTATAATATTGCATCAAAATTATGATTAAAGTACACATTTAAAATGCTATTTTATCAAGCTCAACCATACTATTATAGAATCATAAATTAATTGAGCCATAAAAAAGAAGATTACTAACAATTGAAGCTAATTGATAAAAAAATCTCTAAACAAAAAAAAAATTATATTAATAAACTTATTCATGCTTAATATGCTGATTCACTAAATGGCTATTTTGATTGAAGTAAAATGAGTTTAAAGTATTCCAAATGCAACCGTTTTAGAAATATTAGAATTTGATTTGAATTAAAATAAATATAACGTAAAACTTTGGTGCATTTGAAATTCACTCTCTAGTTTATTTTTCGTATTTGAAACTCTTCAGATTTAGGAGATTTCCAAATACACCATATATTAATATATATGCAACATTTGTTTCAATTCCTCTTTACTCTTAAAAAGCTGCCCAACATATAATTGAGTAGGGGACAAACTAGGGTGTGATAACATTAAATTAGTAGCCATTTAATTGTAGGTTTTTTTAGGGACTAACCCTAATATATCACTGAGTTATTTATATGAGCTCCACAATTTGAATTGTTGCTTTTAATTGTAAAGTACATAAAGAACCAAAAGACCTCAATTATTTGCTAGTTTTAGGTTGATTACAAACCATGTTTGCCCTCTCTAATAGGGCGAATTATTACGTCCGGTCACCGGTCGTCCGGACATCCAATCCAGACACACCACATCACTCAAATACACTAGGACCCTGTATATTTTGGTGACATGGCGCGTCTGGATTGATGTCCGGACGAATCCAGACACCGGATGTAATAATTTGCCGGCAAATGCCTTAGCATTGAAGCATATGTGGAATCACTATACCTATAGCGTATAGGCCCACAATATCACATAGGTTTGCATATGAATTGTTTACATTATCAATTGTACCAGTAGAAGGTGGTGACCATACTAATATTGCATCATTCTCATTTGCACAAAAAGCTATAGTTGAAATATTCTTAGGAATAATAGTCACACATATAGAAGCCCAATGTTGAATAGGCAAGCATATCTTACCTAAAATAGTCAATATTATAATATGTAAATAGCTAAGTTAGAGAAATTGATAATACTTCACCAAAGTGGTATATGTCCTTCGATTTCATATTAAACAATTATTATCAAACTTTGCCATTTTATATATAAGATCATTGACATAAATCATTACGTGAGGAGTCCGGACATAGAGAACTGTCCAATTTGACTTTGTGAATCATAAAAATACAGTGAGCTAGGATTTACTATTCACCACTGCGATTTTACAGTTCATAGAGACAAAATTGAACGGTTCTCTATGTATGATCTCCGCACGTAATAATCTCCAAATCATTGAGGTCTATAAGTGAAATACTTTTAAATCATCATCATCATCAATCTTTTGCTTTATTTTTTGACGAATGTTCAAACAACTTATACTTTTTGTTTTTATTCTCCTATATACAATATAAGAATGTTAATGTTTATTTTATCTCTAAAAAACACGTTGCTAGTATAAAATATTGCTATTCTTCGAACAGCTCTATTATGCTCTATCATGATTCGAATCATGTTTGAATATATTGAAAAATGAATTAAGTGATGATCGGATCATAATCAAACATATTCAATATATGATCTAATTATATTTGAAGATAAAATAATATCTTATTAAGATATGATTAAAAATGTGCCTAATTAAGGAGAGATTATTCTGTGTGGTGTCTGAACACATCCGGAGGGCAATCAAGATACGCCACGCCACCCATTGCACTGACGTGGCACCTCCGAATTGGCCTCTAGATGCGTCCGGATACCGTACATAATAATTTTTCCTAATTAAGACATAATTATACCTAGTTCATTCGTGGAACAATACTCAAATTCAATCATAATGGGAATAAAATTCAATTATAAATTACACATATATTAACAAATATGAAAATACATCCATTAATACTATTATCTATCTCTGAGTTCAATCTTAGTAAAAATGGCCTAATCTACTTTAATCAAACAAACAAAAACAAACTTATTTCCGAAAGGGGTTTGCTCGGTCATATATAATTCGTGGTGCCAAAATCTCGGAGATAGTGCCGCCTGGAAATATGTTGTGTGTTGGGTGACGTAACGCGTCCGAATTGACCTCCGGACGCATCTGGACACCGCACGTAATAATTTTTCCTAATTAAGACATAATTATGCCTTGTTCATCTTGAAACAATATCCAAATTCAATCATAATTTGAATAAAATTCAAATATAAATTACAAATATATATTAACAAATATCAAAATATACCCATTAATACTCTATCTGTCTCTGCGTTCAATCTTAGTAAAAACTGGCCTAATCTACCGTCATCAAACAAACAAAAACGAACTTATTTCCCAAAGGTGTTTGTCCGGTCATATATAATTCTTGGTGCCGAAATCTCGGAGACAGCGCCGCCTGGAACGGACGGCTGCCATGGGCGAGGGAGCGCCCGAGCGAGGAGTCAGAGAGGGCATATCGAAGCTATCCGTTTCTGTATCGTTGCCGTCTTCCACTGGCGAATCCTTGGAGAACAAAGCTGATTCAGCTTCCATCCCGTCGGCTAGGTTCTCCGCTCGAAATGCCTCTTCAAAATACGATTTTGTCAAGGTTTGTCACTTCTTTAGGTTTAGCTTGCAAGTTTGTGAAAGAGGAGGCGAAATTCTAAGTATATTCGGTGTTTCCTTCTTATTTTTCTTTTGCACGTTAGGTCAAAGTGTGGTTGGGGGACAATGCTGATCACTACTATGTTCTCTCCAGATTTCTTCTAAGCAGGATGCTCACCGTCACAAAGGTTAAATTTTGCACAGTTTAACGCTTGCTTTTCTTATGCAGCTTTCATTGTTGAGTCAAGTTAGGCTTTTAGATAGGAACCCGATCATATCCGAGCAATTCGACCTTGCTCAAGCTCCTTAAAGAGAATATAAGAGAGGAGATACAAGTAGGGGGGGGGGGGGGCGGGGGGGGGATTTCGGGGGGGGGGGTCGGGGAGGGAATTTCATGCATTCATTTGATATGCCATCATCTTAATCACTCTGATTAATTAATCCACTTTTAACTACTAAACTAACTACAATTGGTTCACTTCACTTTAGCTATTCTTCAGTGTATAAGGCTGGAGTTTGGGTTTGAAGTTCTATTTTTCCTCCTTAATACTTGCCTTTTCGCATCATGTTTAAGCTTAAAGTTGGTAGTTGCACCACCTTACTTTTTGGTCAGAACTGAACCTTGGCTTTAGTTATCCTGCTGCCTAGTTGATGAGTGAGACAGAGCCTTTGATCTGTAGGAATATTTTTTGGGCTGATGATTGTTAAGCTTTTTGGCAGTTGACATTGTATTTGATTGGTTTTAGGGCAAGACTGAATATATAAGGGCTGGCTAGTTCAGTCCATTGAAATGTTGAGGCTTTTAGCGATAAAATCTTGAGTGGATCAGTCTCCTAAGGAGTGGATCTTAAATCCATTCGCTCTGATCTAGAGTCGAGAAGGCCTACTTATAGGTTGGATTGATCCAATCTCGATTTTAAGGCTGACTTGGCCTAGTAAATTCTATTTAAGCTTGATCCGAGCTAGAAGCCCATGCTATTTTTGAACTTCTAATCTAATTTTTAGTCCATCATATGTGCAAGCATCAACACATCTCGTTACATACTTGTATAAATGGATATATATACTGGCACACACATGAAAACATATATGTACATAGGTATACATGCATTCATATATGTATGCTTATACTTGTTGGTATGATTCATGCTAGTTCAATTCAATCTAGGCATAGTTCAATTTAAGTTCAATTTAAGTTCAATTCAAGTTGTTCGTTAACAGCTTGCTGATTTTGATCCAAGCTTGATCTGAGTAAAAAATTAAAAAAAGATTTACTTTTTTAGCATATCAATCTTCGAGTCAAATTCCAAACCTATCAATCTTATATTGTTGTGTTTTTGGCGTATCGATGCATGATATTAGTGGAATGGAATCTCTGTCTGGCTGTTTGATTTGTTCCATGTTATTGCTGGTAAAGAATACCTGCTATCAAGGATAGTGCAATGATTTTGGCATTTTCACTTTTTTTTTCTTAATTTAGTCATGGATATAGTAGGTATTGAGGAATTCTAAATCGCTACCATCTTGGGTTAAAATGATATCTGAATAGCTACAATCTTAAGATGTCATCAAACAACAACAGTAGGGCACAAATCAACAACATCAAATGACAAAAAAGATTCAGTGAAACAAGCAACCCTAGAACATACACATGCCAAAAATATAATAGTAGTTCTTAAGTGCTGAGATTGCTCTCCATTTGCATGACATAGTTGCTATTACTACTTTAATTGCAATGACTGCTTTTATCTAACTAATCAATGTTTATTTAGAAAGTTTTGGTGCATTAAGCATTGACTGTTGTGATGATTCACTGGAGTTGTATAATTTTTTTAGTAACCCCTGATTTTCTTCGCTCATTTTAACATCCCAATGCACTGCATGTTTCTAGGATTTGCTTGAAATGATAATTTTCTGAACCTATTTAATTCAATTCTGTTAGAAGTCATTAATTCTAATTTCATTTTACAGATCCCCAATCATGTTGCTATCAAAATTGCTCTTGAACTCAAGAAGCTTCTCATAGATAACAGTCTTCTGGATGTGTATGTTTTCCTAACTTTGTGTGTATTATAATTTCTATACTATTATGCAAAAGTATTCATGGAACTTGGATGCAATAGCCATAGCCTTAAATCCTGATCATGAAAATTCTATATGCAAGATTATTACAGTGTCACCTGAGTCTGTAGATTATAAAAATTATGGCTATTCTTTTTAAGATTCTACAATCCTCTTAGGAGCTGTCATTGCCAATGTAGGAGATTTGCACCATTGCATAAAGATATAGGTCACAAAGCTCTTTATTTTTTCGATTAGCCTTTGAAAGGGTATGCTGCATGAGCTTTCTAAAATGGGAAATGAGTTTTTTTTTAAGTATTAAATTCTGGATGAAATGATATAAACAGGATAAATATTTATGGCACACAACACATACTTCTCTCTCTCTCTATATTTGCCTCCTAGCGAACATGCCAACCTCTTTATCCCCATGTGTCCTGTTTCTCTTTCTCCATCTCGATCCTCCTCCCTTTTTTCAATTCTCTGTCTCTATTTTCTAACACCGTTCTCATAGATGAACAGTTTATTAACCTTTGCTGGCTATTTTGAATGTTAGATATCCGGAGAAAATTGTTAGCTGTATTGCAAAGAATTTTAATGAGATTCTTTGTAGAGTTAATATGTCTAAAGGCAAAATGACTTGAGGCAGAGCAAGGAGCTACTAAAAAAATAAATGATGGATATTAATGAGGCATTATAACATACATGAGGAAGCCAAAATAATTCGAAAGAGTTTTTAAAAATATTAAGAATATAACTTTTGATGATTTATATGTTAGGATAGCTATTAAGAGGGGGCAAACAAGATGCAAATATTTAAATAGGGAAATGAGAAATTTTTAATCAATTTAGGTGTATTAAGAATGATGGTAATTGGTTTCCATTAAAATGAAAGATGCAATAAATGATTTCGGAAAACGTATAAATGAAGTTATTAACATTGATTTTTGGGATTTGATAGGTATGTAGGATTTTGTTTGTATGACTAAGAAATATATTATATGAAAACCCTGAGTATAAATCTTAAGAGGATGCCATGATTAGAAAAAGACGTATTTGAAAACAATTAGAATAAAGAAAATTTAGAGTATTGGCAACTATTGATGCATAAAGTTTATAAGTTATAAAGAAAGATATGTGAGAGCGTGTTTGTGAGAGAGAGCAGGAGCAGTCTAAGAGAGAAGGAACACAGTGTACACAACTTTAATCTAGAGAATATTTAATTTGTCTCACAAATAATTATATTCATTCAATCATCAATAACCATTCCATAATACAAGCTATCAATTCATATTCCCCTTTCTGTCCAATAGCTCTCTCTCTGATGCACACATTCTTCCACTTGCCTCGAACTTGGACCTAAAGCCACTCATGATGCCACCCCTATCCCTTCTCCCCACTTGATGTCATGCCCTATGGAAATTAAGCCCTAAAGCCGCTTCAGCCCTCTTCTCTTTATATTATAATTTATAATGATTATATCTTATAGTGTATGAGTGTTATGATATAGTTGTTGCATAATTAATTTGTTGTAAATGAAAGTCACTTTTGGGAATCTACTTCATCACCTAATTTGTTCGACAAATAATTTTGTTATTTATCATTTACTATTTATTATTTTAAATAACTATCCGTTTTAAATGAATTTAATATGGACAACTTGATTATTAACCTTAATCATGCATTAACAATATTTAAATAATCCTTAATTTTCTTAAGGACTTTTGGATCATTACATTTATGTATCGGAAGGCTAGCGATATAAAATGAGATCAAATTTCCTTGGTAACATATAATGTTGCTAATATTTTAGCTTGAATGAGAGAATAAAATTCTTGATCACAAGTTTAGTTAGCTTTGCCCAACCTCATTCAACATCACACTAAATTAGGTGACTGGGGTGTCTTCTTGAATAAGAATACAACCTGTACTAATACCAAAGGCTATACATGATATCTCAAAAACTTCTCAACTAATTTTACAAAGAGGTATAGCTGTTCTAAACAATCTCCCAAGTGATGTGCTAATTTTGCCAAATTCAAGCAAGCTAAATAGTTCACATGTTTTTTTTTTTTTTTTTTTTTTTAATTTACAAATCAGCCCTTTTAACTTGTCCGGCTTGGTCATATTCAGCTATCATAGCATTTCTCTTAAGTATGAGAAATTGTGGGAGTAGCACGCTTTGTATATAATATCATAAAAGAATAGTTGCAGTGGTTTTGGCAAGTACAAAGGCAAGAGAAGATGCTTTTGTAAGGGAAGCCTCTAAAGGATTCATGCTTTAACTACACCATTGGTTCATCTGTCATAGTGCCTTTTGGAAATGGAATAATCTTGTATATTTTCTTGTGAGAAAAAGCTCAAAAAGGTCCCCCAACTATTAACAAGTGTTTAATTTGATCTTAGAGTTTCTCACTGTCCTAATTTAGTCTTCCAACTATTAAAAATTGATCAAATTTAGTCACAGGACTTAAAATAACAATTAAAGTTAATACCAAAGTTAAATATAAGAGTTTTTTAGGTAGTACAAAGATATGTGAGATTACATTGCTTATGTTGTTCTATGTTACCATTTAATAAATTATAATAAATATAAAAATCAAAATTAAAGTTAATCTACTAAATAATAAGGGTGAATAATTAGCAAAGAATATAAGTTTTTTAAGTAAAATCTAAATGAAAGATAGTTCAAAACTCCAAAACACTTTCTACAAAAAATATTATCTTTTCCATTATAAAATCAAATAGGAAAATAAATTTATCTAGTCGAACAAATATTTCCTAAGATTACAAATTATTTTTATCTTATTGAACAAATAGTTCCTAAGCAGAAAAAAAATAAAGGTAAACCAACCATTTTGCTAATCTTGGTCATCCTTGGATGGTTGTTGGCGTGTCTTGGCAATCGGGGTATTATCCATTAGACCTCTGGCTTTATATTCTCCCACCCTTGGACTACCTTGCTTTGCTCGACAACAGGGGTGTGACTGCTTTGTTTGACTTCTTTGTTGAAATTTGGGATTGTTTTGTTGCTTTCTAAGTCCTTTTGGGTAGTTTATTTATTTTCGTCTTTTAATATTTTTTAGCTCAATTTGGTTCTAATTTTTTGTAAGCAGTTCCCCCTTTTTTAATTGAGCTTTTATTGTTTATTTTTTTCACTATAGTAATGAATGGGCTTCGGCCTTAATTCACCCTTGCCAAAAAAAAAAAAAAAAAAAAAAAAAAAAAAAAAACCGTTTCTCCAACTCATTGTGAATGTTGCTCGTGGTCTCCATCTTTGAATGTTGAAGTGCGTCAGCATGTCGCCTTGCTTGCGATTTTGTCTCCATGGGATTATACCTCACAAATTTTCGTTGTCGTGGTCGCTTGCAATAGCATTCACCAACACGTTGCCTCCACTTCGATAGTCCGTTCAGTTCTGACATAGTGGCTTTGAAAGGTGTTGCGACATTGGTGTTTGGGGAGTTGTGGCGTTGGTTTTAACTTTTTAAATTTTTTACATTTTCCTCAGACATTCCTGCACAACATCAACTAAAACATACATTTTTATTGGAATTTAACATAATAGAAACAAACATAATTTTCACTTAACAAATCCCCCTAGCTTAAGCTATTGCTCATTCTTAAGCAATGTGATTTTTTGATCAATTCTTTATTCCAAATAAAAAGTTGCAAATTTAAAATGATTAAAATATAAGACAATACTTCATTATTTAGATGTGAATTGTAATGATTAAAGTATGAAAAATTTAATTAAGCAATCATGAAGAAAACATCCCAATGAATAATTTTCATTAATATCCAAATTGAACTCATCAACTATAAGTGTAAGTGCGAAGTTTGACTACTAAGTTGGATTGAATATTTTTTTTAGAAAACACTCGCACTTTAGTTAATTTTGAAATTCATTTATAAACCTTCATATGTCAAAATGAATTTCAAAAGGATAGTTGGGTAGAAGTGCCTTTAGAAGATGAACCACATACCCAACAAAAGCAAATGAAATATAATGTATTTATAACATGTACATATATTTTCAAGATGACGAAGCCGTCGTGTCGCTTGCAGTAACAAGTCGTCTTGCTCACGGTCTTCATCTGTAGAAGCACGTTGTCTTCCTCGCAGCAACAAGTCTTTCTCTTATGTGTTTCGTGTCTCCAGGGATTAAAGCGGGAGGTATTGGGGATGATAAGAAAATTTATTTCTTCTAAATTACCCACGACATAAAGCCAACCTTGCAGCTTTTTCCATTACTTTGTTAGAAATAAATGAACGGGGGACAAAATGGGAACATTTTTTAATAGTTGGGGGATAAGATTGGATCGTTATGACAGTCTGAGATTAAATTGAACATTTATTAATAATCGGGGAACTATTTCGAGCTTTTACTCATTTTCTTGCATTATTAGGTATTGTGCAGTAGCTTGCTTACTAAAAGCGAATTTGCATGTTTTGTGATAGCGAGTCCAGTTGATTGCATGCTGAAAAGGTTACCAAAAAGAACTACTAATAGGAATAAATGGTAAGGAAGATTCATAATCTGACCCCTAAAAGTTGGGCATGGCTGAAGTGGATGAATTCTTTGACAATTTTGTCTAAGTTTATAATTTTATTTGCTTCTGATATATTATTCTGATCATCAATTGCAGTTCACAATCAGATTTGGAAGCTAATCTTTTCAAGGTATATTTTATTTGGACCATTAATCCTCTCTACATATTATGTTTGATAAATTGTGTTTGTATTTTCCTCAAAACTTGTAATTAACTATAGTACTATTCATGTTACCTATTTTTCTTGTTTCTTAAAATTTCTTTTTTTTTTTATTATTCCGTATGAGAACTTTAGTTTCCAAAGTTTAATCCAGAGCTTTCATCTCACTGTTCCTGCTGGTTGTATTTTGAGCATTCATTTATATTTTTCTACCACCAATATGTAGGAATGTCATCAATTGTTTATTAATGCAAGTGACATGATACTTTGCATTCTTCTCTTATTTATTGATTTTCAGAAGCTTTATTTGTTTTCCATCTATATACTTGGTGAAATCTGTAACCACATGGAGTAATTTTGTAAGAAATTACATGTATTTGAATCTCTAGCAGTAACTGGGCAGCGTTCTGTGATCAATACGTGGAGGCTTTATCAACTCTTTTTTTTTTTTTGATCAATAATAGGCCAGAGATCTTAGACAAAAATTTCTCTCTGAAGCCTGAAGCTATTGCAAGGCAGGAAAAAATATTTTCTACTTAGTTATTTTTTATTCATTCCTCCAGAGCATCTTGAAAATATATGTTTCATGTATGATTTGCCATGCAACTATGCAGTTACTATTCAAAGAACTTTCTCTTTCCTATCCTGGAACAGTTGTAAAAAATTGTTTTGTAGTTGTTGTGCATCAAGTTGATATCTACGGCATAGTAATAAATTTGACTGAAGCAAATTTGATTCAGCCAAATTGGATCGGCATAGTAACCACAAGTCAACTTAGTTTATTTATGCTTTTGTACATAGGTGTAGAAGCCTTCATGTACATGTTATAAATGCATTATATTTTATGTCCTGTGTATCATCTCAAATCAATTGAAAATACAATAAAATTTAAAATAATAATAACACAAAATATTTAATAATCCTTAAATTTGAAAATATGTAGAAATTCATATAATACAGAGAAGAATATGAAAAGTGCAATAAGCTGTGTAAGGGAAGCTCGAAGACTGAACCACTGAAGCAACTAAAACTACAATTCATTAGGCAAGACCAAAGCGAAACTGAAAGCAAGTTTTAAAACCTTGTAAATTGCCATGGTTAATCAAAACTGAATGTTTTCGCTGTCATATCACATTGAAATTGTTGCAAACCCTTGAAAATGTCTCACTCTAATGAGCAGAAGAGCGGACTAAACCTGTCGAGCTTTCTTTTCCAAATTTAAAAAATAACTGCAAGAATTAATTTAGTTACAGGAATAACATTCTACTCGATTAATGCTTTTGTAGTTGCTTTGTTCTATGGATTGAATATCAGAGCTATAATTCCACAACACTGCCACATTTAATCTTCACATATTGACATATTATTTGGTTACCATATTCTTTTTTCAGCTCATGGAGAGACGAGGATATGGGGAAGAGTACATTAATCGTTACAAGATGATGACCAGGTGATTTGTAGGCATTTATGTTTGTCTTATCATGGAACTTGGATTGTTTCCATATTTCAATATCATATCTTATCTGATATTTCCTTTCTGTGCTTATAATACCTGAGAGTTGTATGGATCACGTCAAGTTTCATGGAAATGATCTAAGATGTTAGTTTTTTTTTAATGGGAAATCATGTTAAAATAGTCCATGGACTATTTACGGTGTCAGTTTAAGTCCCAAACTATCTAATGTGTCCAATTCAATCTATTGACTCTTCAAATAAGATCCAAAATAGTCTCTTGGCTTCTTAAGTCTGGTCTAAAATAATCCAACAAAGAGACTATTTTGGATTATATTTGAGGAGTCAAGGAACTAAATGAAACACATAAAATGGTTGGGACTATGTCCCCATACAAATAGTCTAGGGACAATTTTGAACTTTTTCTCATTTCTAATGTTAAGGAGGGGTGTCTCTGGTTATTTGCTGCTTCAATTGTAATATAACTAACCTGACAAGCAAAACATTTTGAAAAGGATGAGGTTGTGCATGGCAAAAATTGAAAAAAAAGGTCTTGTGCTTTAAGAATGGAACCTTACATTTGTGGACCAAATTAGGATATGAGAGCCGTAATATCAAACTGATACTCCCAACTTTGTGCTAGCATCCTGAAGTTGGTCATATAAATTATCTGTGATTTATTTTATAGAGTGCATTTTTAGTTTCTCTATGCCACATAGCAATAGTAGATGTATGGAAATATCTTAGTTTAAAGGAAACTCGAAGAGAAATTTTCCACTTTTGCTTTATCATGGGAAAGATCAAATGCTTTGACTAGTTTTATTATAATATATCTTATTTTATTCCACATGTAGCAAGTATCTAACTGACCTGCAGTTTTGTTCCATCATCTAGCAAGTGTTATGTTCAAGTGGACTCAATAGAAGAGCCACCTCATTTTGTATTCTCGTTCTTCTATTTTGCGTTTAAGTCATTACATGATAACTTGTTAGTAGTATGATGAAGATTGTTTATAAACATTTATGTTTTATAAATCAATCAAGTTATTAACTTCATCGGAGTTGTATAATACCTATTTTGACCTTCCTTTTCTTGTTATGATAATTGGAGTCCTCACATGTCTGTCTTGTTCATTTACATTCCTGCGGAATTTACTTCATTATCAACCTTAAACTTTTTATTAGCACTACTCACACACACCCTTGCGTTGCAACTTGCAAGGAAGGCTAATGAAAACAAAAATTAAATTATTATTGATAAAATGAAATTGAACTATAATTGAAATTGAATTTTAATTTCTTGAGATGTATTGGTATTTAGCCATATTTTGTTAAATCTGACTCTAGAGAAAATCAATTTTAAAATATAGAATTTATTATATATATATATTTTTTCATGGTGATGTCAATAAAATTAGATGGTTTCGATTTGCATTATGTTTTTTTAAGTTTAAAATTCACTTTGTAAAAACAATTTGCCTTGTAAAAATGGTTATTTTTGTTTGTTTCCCAGATAAATATCTTTAAATATTTAATCTAAAATTGAAAAATACTTTTATTTCAATTTGAAGAGCTTTGCTTTTGTTGCATAGCTTTACTTGCTTTTATTTTGGTTTTGCAAGGTAGTTTCCATGCGCATATGTTAAGTGGCACATGCCACCTCAACATACATTTGCATTTCAGCTTAAAATATCACCCATGTAGTTCTAGTATTATATAGAATGTATTTTGTTAGGAGGTTCTGTGAAGTGAATCATATGGTATAATTGGAATAGATGTTATATTATAGGTATCATAGTGGCCCTTGTATGCTGTCTTGTTTGTTAAAGCTTTTACTTTTTTTTAAGCATATTTATAGCTTATGGTGATCCATGGTGATGCTTATAATGGAAGATCTTTGAATATATATTTTTGTGATATTTATCAAATGTTTTAGCATATCAAAAGCTTTATTATGGTATTTTTACTATTGGCCTCTAATTGCTCATACTATAGGTTTCATCACCAACGAGTGCCTTTAGTTATTCTTGTGTGTGGAACGGCTTGTACTGGAAAATCCACAATCTCCACTCAACTTGCCCAACGTCTTAACTTGCCTAATGTTTTACAGGTGAATGTTTTCTTTTACAAGTAATCTGCAACTTGAATTATGTTTGTTCCTTTTTATAAAAGATTTGCACCTAATTTTTGTCAAATTGCACAGACAGATATGGTATATGAGTTACTACGGACATCAACTGAGTAAGTTCTTGACTAATTTTCCATTTCAAGTCAGGACATGAGAATACCCTTTTTTATTTTTCATTTTTTGACGGTCATCATCTCCAGAATGACATATCTTGGTATAAGTTATCATAATTATCAAATTAAGGTTCTGTGGTAGCTAAAATCATATTGCATTTTATATTTTCTTTCTTGATAAGTGAAAATTTAATGTACTGGACTTAACTTCAATTATTCGTTGACTATGGCTATAGAAAAATTTGGAACTTAACTTATAACGAAGAGCCCAGTGAGTTCCCCTGCAATCAAGACCAAAATTCAACGCTCCACCGTTAAGAACAAAAAGGAAAGTTTAAATGAAAAACCCATAAGAAGATCACATAGGATACAAATTTTATGTGGTTTGGAGACATGGTTTAAAATTGTGCAATAAGAGGAGTGCCTCAGCATAATTTTAGACTTTTAAGCCTCTAAGCCTACACAATGAGAGCTGGCATTGAGGCGTATGCCTCATGTTCCCTAAGGCGTGCCTCGCCTCATGTTTTAGAGGCGTTCGCCTCTTTAAAAAAAAAAATCCTAACCTAATAAGATTCCACAATTGGTCTGTCTGCTCGGTACCGCTTGGTATCGCTAGGTACATGCTCGGTATTGCTTGGTACCACTCGGTATAACAATGCTTGGTACCACTAGGTACATGCTCGGTACTGCTAGGTACAGTTCGAACCCCGCCAGGAGGCAGCATCCCCTTAGACCCCCGACTGTGCGACATATTGTTGTATTCATTGCTATTTATTTTTGGAATTATATGTTAATGAAAAGAATACTATAATTTGGGAAAGATAGAATTTGAGTTGAACTATATTTCATATTGGCTTATTATTGGGATATTTTGATTTCACTTCATATATTTTGCCTTTTTATGTTTTATATTTTTTACTCATTAGTATATAAAAAATTTATCATTTTATATTTACGCAATCTTTTGATTTTGAGGCTTACGCCTCAAAATGTCTTGAGGCTTACGTCTTGCCTCAGGAACGAAAAACGCCTCAATGCCCGTTACTCAAATTTGAACATTGTTTGGAGATAAGTTTTGCATCCATGAGTTCATGGATTTTACCATGTTTTTACGGGTTACAATTGTGGAGTTGAAGTTTTAAATAGAAGTTTAGGTTTGTTATAGTAATGATAAATTTACACCTAAAATATGCTAATGAATTTATGCCTAGAAGATTTCCTGGGAATTGAGAACACTGTACTCTTTTTTATTGGGGGAGGGATAACCAGTTGGGATTGAGGAAACTGTAAGAAACAAGCTCCAAAAAGGCTTCCACCCCGTAAGAATGAAATAAAGAGTAAAAACATTGAAATACAGACACGGACATAGAATGAAACTAATGGCAACCTGGAACATAAAGGAGTCTCATTTTTTTCTTAAATCCTTTTGTTCGGGTTTATTTGTGTATACTGCCTGATACCTTAATATTTCTATAAGTTTGCAGCTTGTTCTCTTACTTCCCATTCAGCCTAAAATGTTGAATAACTTGGTAAATATTCATCATTCATGCTCTATGCAGAGCCCCATTAGCAGGTACGCCAGTCTGGGCAAGAGAATTTAATTCATCAGAAGAACTCATCACAGAATTCTGTAGGGAGTGTAGAATTGTGAGGAAAGGTAAATGCAAAACTTTTATTCTGACATGTTGTTTCAATGTCTTTTTAGCTATTGGTCTCATTAGTAAGTTACTTTTAACACTGAAATGTGTCATTAATGTTTCGTTTGTGATGACTTTCTTTTTGCTTCATAAAGCAGCTTTCTAGTAAAAAATTAATTAAAATTTTTTACTAGAAAGCTGCCTTATGAAGCAGTAAGAAAGCCGTCCCAAACAAAACCTAAGTTATTCTCTGCTTTTAGTTTCTTTGCATTCATTCCTGAACTAATTACTGAACTGCTATTAGGGTTGGCTGGTGATTTGAAGAAGGCAATGAAAGATGGGAAGCCTATCATTATTGAGGTTGATCTCCACATATTTAATGTTTTCCAAGTAGGATATGAAGCTTGCAAAGCATTCTTTAACTATGCAACGATCTTTTAAGAATTGCAACTATTTCATTGCATATTGGTTTTTAAATAAATAATGTGGCTGAAATTTTGGAACGAGCTCTAATAAGGTCAAATGGCATGGATCTTCTCCCAAGATTCTATTTGCAAATGCCTTTCCATTGAATGATGCCGATTAAGGGATGTTATTGGTCTATATTATTGAATATTTCAGAATTTTCCATATTGCAGGTGCACTCTCACTGATATTTTTTTTTTTCGGTAATTCTGTTTGAAGTTCTCATTGAATGGTAGTTGTATCTCTGCATCAGTAATACTATTTTTTAGTGTTCAAGGGCCGTACGATAATACTTCAGCCTTTAAATAACTGTAGATATTTGGATCAGTGTCATGAAGAAGATGCTGATAAACATTTTCTTATATGCCAACAATATATATATATATATATATATTTTTTTGTGATTTTTGTTTATTATTTATACATTGCTGGTAGTCTATTCATATGCAACCATCAAATAACATTCTGACAGATCATAATCTGGAGATTTTCTCTGGATTGTATAGACTTTCTAATATAAAAAAAAAACTATTGCTTTGACGCAGAAAAATCTCATGATTTGATAGAAAAACTAGAAAAGTATATATGATTAATACACAAAATTTCAACCTTCCATCTATTTTTTTGGTCCTTATGAAGTCAGTTTTTTAGTCCTTTAAAGAGATAGGCATTGGCCTTTAAAAGAGAACCACAAAATTAAGTGTTGCAGAGATGAGGATGATTAGGTGGATGAGTGACTATACTCTTAGTGATAGAATGCGAAATGAATATATACGTGAAAAAGTTGGAGTATCTCCAACAACAACAACAACAAGGCTTTATTCCACTATGTGGGGTCGGCTATGTGAATCCTTTTTCTCCATTGTGTCATGTTAATAGTCAAATTCTCATCTAAATCTGATAAAGAAAGGTCATTTTAAATATTTTCTAACCAAGTCTTTTTAGGACTACATCTACATTTCTTAACATAAGTCAAATCTAATACATCTACTTTCCTAACCAGATCATCAGAAGGCCACCGTTTTATGTGACCAAACCATCTAAGGAGACTCTTTCTAATCTTATCTTCCACTGGAGTTACTCCAACCTTTTCACGTATATGCTTGTTTCATATCCTATTTCTAAGAGTAAGCCACTCATCTACTTGAGCATCCTCATCTCTCCAACACTTAACTTAATATTATGCTTCTCTTTTAATGGCCAACATTCTGCACCATAAAGCATTGCAAGTCTCACTACCATTTTATAGAATTTTACCTTAAGTTTGGGAGGGACTTTTCTATCACACAACAAGCCCGATGCATTCTCCACTTCAACCATCCAACCTGAATTCTACTAATAATATCCCCATCTATTTCATTGTCTCTCTGAACAATAGACCCAATATATCTAAAACGTGTACTCTTATTAATGACTTGATCGCTCAAAGTTACAATCCCCCTACTAGATCTATTATTACTAAACTTACACTCCATATATTCAATTTTAGATCTACTCAAACAAAAGCTTTTAGACTCTAAGTTTGACCTCCATAATTCAAGTTTACCTTTAACTCCCTTTGTAGTCTTATTGACAAGAAGAATATCATCAGCAAAAAGCATACACCAATGTACAGCCTCTTGCAAATGTCTAGTGAGAACATCCATGATTAAAGCAAAAAGATATAGGCTTAAGGCTGATCCTTAATGTAATCCATCTGAAATAGGAAAATCCTTGGTCAAACCACCTTGTGTTTGAACACAAGTAACAGCTCCCGCATACGCATTATCCTTAATGACTTGAATATAAGCATTATGAACTACTTTCGTAGGTAGAACTCTCCATAGCACTTCTCTTGGAACTTTATCATATGCTTTCTCTAAATCAATAAAAGTCATATGTAGAACCTCCTTATTCTTTATGTATTTCTCCATCAAGCCTCTCAATAAATGTATAACCTTCATGTCCTAAGCATTTCTACACCTTGGAATATCATCAGGTCCAACAACTTTTCCACACTTCATTTTCTTTAAAGCCATCTTTAACTTCATTTTTACTAATACGCTGATAAAAATAAAAAATTTTATTTTCATTTTAGGTGCTAAGGTCACTAAAGACAATCATATTCTCCTAATATTCATTGAAAACTTTAGCAAAATATCTTTTCTATCTTTGTTGAATATCTTATTCTAATAAAAGCATTTTTTGATGTTCATTTTTAATACACAGTTGGAGTATCTCTAATGATAGATAAGATTAGAGGGAGTCACCTTAGGTGATTTGGTCACATAAAACATTAGCTTTTTGATGATTCGATTAAGAAAGTAGATTTATTAGATTTAACCTATGTTAAGAAATGTAGAGGTAGATCTTAAAAGACTTGGTTAGAAAATATTAGAAATAATATTTTCTTATTAGATTTAAATGAGAATTTGACTCCTAACACGATATAATGGAGAAATATGATTCATATAGCTGACCCCATGTAGTGGGATAAAGGCTTGTTGTTGTTGTTTTAAAGAGACAGACAATTCCAACCTTCCAGCAGTTTTCTTATTTCTTAATGAATTTTCTGATTCCTTTTTGTCTGTTTAAGATAGATGAATATATAGAAAGAGATAGGCTTTGTTTTTGTCATTAGGACAGCCAATTACACCCTTCCATCAGTTTTCTTTGTCCTTTTCAAGTTACCTATGATACCTTTCTGATGTGAGAGCTCCCTTGCTGTGAACCTTGGTAATCTTTGATGCTCTTGAAAGTGATTCTTTGGATGTCTTGTTTATTCGAACTCTAATTTGTTATGGGTTTCAATGATGCATTCCATTTTTTATGATTGCGAAATGAAGGTATTTGAAGATTGTTTCACTGATTCCTGAATAAGTTTCTTGTAAATATTTAGAAGAAATTTCACTAGGCCACTAAGAAATTTATGGTTCACTGTGCCAATCAGTAGTTGAATCCTTGTTCTTTTTGAGAAAAGAAAATCTCCATTGTTTGGAAAAGTCTTATCATTACCTGAATTGCATCATAAAATTATGCTCCAGGCCTAATCATTGCATGCAAAGTTTGTTGACAAATTAATATTCATACATATTGTTTTTATAAGAGAACTATTAAAACCTCTCTATTGTATTTCTGCTTTTCTCGCTCAGTTGATTCAGGTTTTAATATTTTATATTTCAAACTACAAGTCATGATTTTCACAGGGAATTCATTTGGATCCTAGCATCTATTTAATGGATGAAGATAAAAGGGAAATTTCTCTTGTTCGTGGCGAGGACAAAGAACATGGAAATGCCAAGAGTGATTTTCCTGCGGAAGAAAAGGTAAAATGTGCTTCCACCAGTGAACTCAACTCAACATGCATAGATAAGGAAGATAAGGAGTGCTATTATGAAAGGGAAGGCATTGAGATCAACAATTCTAGTTCACATTATTTGGATAATAAAAAATGTCCAGAAAATCCGAGCCATAAAGAGTCTAACACTGGAGAAAAAGGTTTTTCTCTTATGAAATACAGTTCAATCTTTTTTGCTTGGCCATTCTCTTTTATTTCTTTTTGCAGCAGCTCTTCTACAAATGTTGGTTTTTCTATTGATACTTTTTACATACTTTCTATGATTACTGCAGATGAAGGTCCAAAAGATCCAGATGCAAGAAGCATTTGTCCTGTGAATAAAGCGAAGCCTGCCGTTGATCCTATTATTGTACCGATTGTCTTAAAAATGGCTGAATTTGATCACAAGGTTTTGATTTCATTTATTTTTTTAGATCAGCATCATCATTAGCACAATCCCAACCATTTGTTACCTGTTTATGAATCTTTGTTCCCTATCATTCGTTTCCCTGATGATTTTCAAATTTGAATAATTTTTCTTATGCTTTTTAGCATTCATCTTTTTCTTCATTGAATAGTCTTACAAATCGCTATTTGAATATTACCCGTGCACAGTTGATGCCTTTACTGTTGAGCAATTTATAGCCCATTCATTTCATTATTATTATTTTTAAAAAATGGAAAAGTTGGATACGCTTCTCATTAGATAACTAAAGACCATCTCATGAAGATGTTTACCTCCACATTAAAACCAAAAGAAAACATACAAAATAAAATAAAAAAATACTTGAAAATCATTACCTACCTCTGTCAAATCCATTACATGAAGATCTGCCGCTGCTACAGTCGAATATCTGCGAACGGTGCCGAAGCCAGAAGCCCATACCCGCGTGTGAAGGCTTTGCCTCCATCGTTGCTCCCGCTTGCGTTAAAATGAGATCGAAGCCTCAGACGTCGGATCCCTGCTTCCTCTCCCTCATTTCCTTCACACGACTCCATCCTTCTCTTCAAGGTCCGACCTCACCTTCAATCCCCTTCTCCATCATTGATGAGGGTTCATAAATTTTTTAATTTTTTGAATTAGAAAGGAAGACACCAAAACCTATGCTCTGATACCAAATTGATGCAATAAAAAAATTGCCAAAATTTACACCTTTCACTTACAACCATAAATCGACAAAAAACTTAGATAAGACAACCGAACTAATCCAAACAGGGGAAAACAGAAGGCCAAGGGGCTGTCCAGGAGCAGCCGCCGAAGGGCCACACAGGGAACTGGAAAAGGCAGCCATGAGAGACAGGAACGGGCACCACAGGGAAACGGAACAAGCAGCCAAGGGGGGAAGGAACCATCCACGAGAAAAGGAGCCAGGTGGGGGAAAACGAAGGGCCACAGAGAAGAGGAAAGAGCAAGAATCCACTCCACATAATGAGCTAAAAAGTAGGAGAACTTCCCATAATAATGAGCTGAAAAAACAGCAGCTCAAGCATTAATGAGCTGGAAATAGCAGCCCCAAGAACACAACAAAAACTGAGTAGCCAAGCCCAAATCGAGAAGCAACCAGCAGCCCAAGAATTTGGCACTGAGTTGCCCCCCCTTTGCCTACATCAATCATCCATTCCCCCATCATCCGCTTTAAGTGCTAGGTGCTAAAATTTCTATTTTAAATATCAAATTCCCAAATTCCTAAGCCCATGCTGCTAATATATGCCAGATATATGTAATCTTTATGTATTTGATTGACGACCAACCTTAATCGAAAGTTCTCTCTCGTGATCGGGACGGGTAATTAATTATAGGGGCTTGCGCCTATAGAAAACTAGAACTCAGATCATAAATTCATCGCAAAATGAGGGCGAAATCTCTGGGCAGTGTCTTATCTACAAATCCATTTACCTTCCAAAATTTACCCCAGAACTTAATCCGTTAAAACTCCCCCGAAAAAGTAGTGGGGGAGGTCGGGGCAGAATTTTTGGAGCCCACAGATTTCTGACGACTCCACTGGGCATTGATTTCTCTTTCCATCTTTGGCTAGTCGTCTAAATACTATAGTAGCAGTTAAAAAAATAATAATACTGAGTTCTATACGGTGAATATCAGGATGTGACACTTACTATATATATCCATAAAGCTGTCACTAAAAGGTCACAATAGAGGTAAAAGCAACCATCTATTATGATGGTAAAGCAAAAAAAAAAAAATCAAGATATGTATGGTGAGCATCGGGGTGTGACACTTGGACGCATATCCAAGAATCCACTGTCGAAAGGTCCTAACATAAGGGAAAATAAATATAGAGATCAACACCCCTAGAAAAAAAATAATATACAAAAGATTAGCGTAACATCTAATGTGTACCCCTAGAGATCTGACATTAAAGAAATTCATAAAAAGTGGGTCTTGAAGATGACCCCTATTGATAATATTCTCGATGGTTGACATCTTGAAGAATCCTTAAAGAAATTCTATCATTTTTCAACTACATCCTTTCCGACTAAGGACCCTCGCCTAACCTTCATTATGGCTGACTTATCCCTTGATGTAGCAATTTATAGATTGACCATCATATCAAATGAGACACTCATCAAACAAGCTCCAAGGAGAATGAGATTGGAGATTGAAGAACAGGTTATTGCAGCTCATAGAAGCGGGCTTCATTCATGAAGAAAAATATGTTGATTGGATCATTAATATTATCTCGGTAAAGAAGAACGGCCAAATTCGTATATGTATAGATTTTCGGGACCTCAATAAAGCGTGTCCGAAAGACGATTTTTCACTTTCGGTGTCAGAGTTATTAGTGGATAACACATCCAATTACGATATGTTTTCCTTCTTGGACGGATCGTCGGGCTACAACAAAATAAAAAAAGATGTATGAAGATGAAAAGCACAAATCATTCAGAATGCTCATCGACATATTCTGTTACAATGTCATGCCCTTTTGCTTGAAGAATGCTGGTGCCACCTATTAATGGGTGATGACGCACATATTTGACGAGCTATTCATCAAAAGGTTGAATGTTATATAGATGACCTGATCTTTAAGAGCATGGATCGAAAGGACCACCTTAATGACCTGAGGATAGTATTCAAGAGAACTGAAGATGAACCCCCTCAAGTATGCATTTGGGGTATCCTCGGAGAAATTTTTGGATATGTTCTTCGTCACCGAGGAATCGACATCAACCCCAATAAAATTAAGGCGATCACGGAGATGCCGCCACCAAAGAATCTTCGACAACTTCGCTACTTGCAAGGTCAACTGGCTTTCATTCGCCGATTCATATCGAATTTGTCGGATAGGTGCCAGCTATTTTCAAAGCTGATGAAGAAAGATGTCTGTTTTAAATAGGACGATGAGTGGAAGGAAGTGTTTGACAGCATCAAAAGATACTTGTTGAACCCGCATTGCAATGCCAATTCCAGGAAAACCTCTTATACTATACACGACAACACTAGAAGAGTCCCTCGGAGCATTATTGACCCAACACAATGAAGAAGGAAAAGAAAATACGCTCTACTATATCAGTCGAAGGCTGATTGGAGCAGAAGTACGTTATTCCCCAATTGAAAAGCATTGCTTGACATTGATCTTTGCAATCCAGAAGCTCCGCCACTACATGCTGTCACACAAAATTACATTGATATTAAAGATCGATCCACTGAAGTTCTTGATGACAAGGCCAGCGTTGATAGGTCATTTAGTCAGGTGGGCAGTAGTACTGTTGCAGTTTGATATCACGTACAGGCCGCAAAAGACGATGAAAGGACAAACATTAGCCGATTTTCTCGCCGCAAATCCTATTTCGATAGATTTTCCACTCAATGATGATTTGCCCGATGAGCATATCATGCAGGTCGAGGAAAATGATAAATTACAATTTTGGGAGATGTACTTTGATGGGGCAGTGTCGATTAAACCTGCCCTACCTTTAAATCTTGCAAGGGCCCGAGCTGGTATCGGTCTCATTTCCATAGCAGCTGAAGGAGGCATAATGAGGCTTTCTTTCAGTTTGACGGAACCTCAGACCAACAATGAAGCCGAATACGAAGCTCTAATAGCAGGACTAAAGATTGCGATCGATGTCAGAATTCAAAATTTCCAAATCTTCGGCAATTCTTAACTTGTGATAAATCAAGCCCTGTGCATCTATTAGATTGACAAACTTGAATTGGCTCATTACCACCAGCTAACTCTCGAGCTTTTGAAGCAAGTGCCAAATGTTAGAATAACTCAAGTTCCTCTAGGTCAAAACAACAGAGCAGATTGTCTGTGGCTAAATTAGCCAGGACTGTGGAGAATACATACGAGGAAAGACTTATAATAATTATGGTTCATAGTCGTCGGGTCTTAGAGCTAGCAATCTTGCAGTTCTTGCAGGTAGAGGGAATACCAAATTTAAGCCAGCATGATACAACCCCGGTTGATCCTCAATCTCCCCAATAAATCATTCTTGAAAGATAAAGTCCCAATCTCTGTAACGTTTGAAAAGTTACGAATTAAAAATTTTACCAAAATAAAATTATCCTCATTTTTTGGCAACAGAAATATAAAAATTTGATCAGAAAATTTCAAAAGCACAAAATTATTGGAATAAGAAATATGATAATGGTTCCTTACAATGAGACGAACAAATCTCCCAGTAGGGACAACTGATGAAAATCGCTCTACAACTTTCAAACCCTAAATCTTCTTTCCTTTCTTCTCTTTTAATTTTTAAATTCTATTTATCTGTATGGCCGAATGAAGGGGAGAAAGGGCTTATAATGGATTAGTTAATGGATTTTGATTTTATAATAAAATAATAATAATATAATTATTTAATTTAATCAAATTCTTATAAAATCTTTTGGGGCTCTAAAAATTATAGAAAAATACCAATAAAATAGCCCAATTTATTTAGAAAATTTTGATGAAATTGGTTTGTAAAACAAACACCTGATGGTTCCAAAACCTCTACTTGTACCGATAGGAATTATAGAAAAATACCAATAAAATAGCCCAATTTATTTAGAAAATTTTGATGAAATTGGTTTGTAAAACAAACACCTGATGGTTCCAAAACCTCTACTTGTACCGATAGGTGTCAATTTTTTAAGTATTTGCATCAATGCCCATAAATTACAAAAAATAGCGTAATTAAAGCACTACAGTATCTATGCCATAACGAAGACGGTTTGTGATTTGGACTCATAATGACTCTTGAAAAAAAATATTTCACTGGTTTAAAATACGGGCTATTACATGTATCCTATAAATAAGCTTGGAATAATGTAATGAAATTCAATATGAATTTCTCCTAAAATTCTTTTTTCTTCCTTTCTTCTTGCTCCCATTCATTGATCTTTTATTGTCGAGAAAACGTAAATTGCCGTATGTCATCCCTGCTGTTGCTATTGCTCCTTGGAGAAGTCATATTTCACCCAGTAGCCACCATCCAAGCATTGTGTGCTATGTAGTTATTGCTGCCACCAAAACCCCTATTGTCCAACACCTATAAATAGTCCCCATGTGCTATTGTCAACTAAAAATAATAAGCAAAAATAACAAACCAATTGCTCTTTGTTGAAGGGAAGTCAAAGACAAAAGGGTAGTTGCAATCTAAAAAAGCAGAGAGCGAACATAGAGCTGTTCTTATTGTTTACAAAAAGAAAAAGGAAAATCCGAGAAGGAAAGTCATTTACAATGATAAATCTAAACTTGAGGTACTATTAATTTGATTGGCAATTTAAGATTGAATTCACCAAAGTAAAAATGATCATGGTGTGGTCAAGACCGTATACAATTATATAACGAGGTACCTTTAAACATTCAAAAATATTTAAAAGGAAAAAATGTCTTTCAAAAGAGAAATAGGGCAAAGCTAAGCCTTCCATTAATGAAGAAGCATAACGAGCCATACTCTTACCAATTCGAGCAAGAATGAGATAAGAAGTTGTTGCCTTTTTAATTTTGTAAGCTTGAAAGAAGAGACATTATTCTATAACAAAGCTAAATCATGCCTACACCTAGAATATGATTTTGGATTTTAATAGAAGTGAGTTGGAACATAACCAGTGATAATCTAAAAGGCTTCTGAAGATGAAATGTTATTCAAGCTCTATGATCTATGAGGCTTTCAAAATTCTAGTTTTTGAATTGAGTTTCTAAATCTCCTAGAAAGTTCCTAAAATATTAGTTACTAAACATAATAAGGCGATATACTTGGGAGTTTGGAAAGGCAACCTTACCTAGGATTAAGTTATGATTTAACAGCAGTGAAATCCTGCTAAAACAAGGGCCCATGATCAGTGTTTTCAATGTGCTAAACATAGTGTTCCTTTTTTCATCAATGCACAAAGCCCAAAGCCCAAATCCAAGTGTAGTTTTGCTTACTAGAGTGCTCATGAATTATATATCAGAAATTCAAATATTATGTTCATATAATAATCATTTAATTCACCAAATATAAACCATATAATTTACTTATTTTAGACAAATATAATCATACATTCAATAATATTAATTTGTAGTATTTAACAAGAGAAAAGGACCAAAATGGTTCCTGAACTTTTTGCGACCAAAATGGTCCAAACTCTTTTGATCCTTAAAAAGAGGCATATTTGGTCATAACATCAAATTTTGGGGTTAATAGTGTAAAATGAAAGGGTATTTTAGTCATTTTTGATTAAATTATTTATTAAATATAATTTTCAATAATTGTTTTTTAAAAAGTTTATTGAATATTTCTTTAATAAAAAATTGATTAATAATTATAGTTTTAATTTAAAAAATTATTGATAATTCTAGTTTTATTTTATAATCATTATAGACTAGAATTATTAATAATTTTCTTATTAAATAAATATTTAATAATTTTTTTTAAAATACTTTTACTTGAAAATTATGTTTCATAAATAATTTAATATAATAATGATCAAAATACCTCTTGATTTAACACCATTAATTCCAAAATTTGATGTTATGAAATCCAATCTCAGATCTTATTAAAACATTGAGTGCAATACTATTCATAATGTTGACCCATATTAATGGACTAGACCAATGATGATGATGATGATGATGATGATGATGTCATGATATATTTTGAAACATATTTGTTCTGTTTACATTATGTTACTTGAATTTTGGCTACCTCATGAATGCAGGCATTATTGGAAGAGTGGATATCCACCAGAACATATGGGGAAAACTGTCCCGTCCAGGTATTGTGCTACCATGTTTGCAGTACAAAGTTACTAGAAATTAATCACAAAGTATATTTTTTCAATAATTTTTCTACAATTTAGATTAGGATCCTAAGCTTGGGCTACATGTCAATACTACATAGCATACGCTAAAGCTCATCATATTGTGTTGCATCTTTTGTGCTATTGGTATAGCAAGGTGTAAATTGTTAGTTGATATGCTTCTTGATCCATATCAAGTAGGGGAAGACACCTTTTGAGTAGCTGTAGACTCCAAGAGAAGAAGAGGGGAAAGAAGGGATACTAGAGAGGGAGAAAACAATAAATTATTTATTCCATAAGTCTTTCATTATAATAGGAAAGGTATTTATTATACTTGAGTAGACCAAGTTTATAATGTAGAACTAGTCTACCTAGTCAAACATAAAAGAAAGACTAGATTAGTGCTTTATTACATATATGGAACCATTTGTTATTTATGCTAGTGGAATTAATTGGCTAGGTGTGGTGGAGACTGTTGGCTGGCAGGGTTTGGAAGTGGAGATATCTCAACGAGAGCACAATTGTTATACTTCTTGATCCATATCAAGAAGGGGAGGACACCTTTTGAGTAGGTGTAGAGGGAAGAAGAGGGTAAAGAAGAGAGATTAGAGGGAGAAATACAGAAATTGTTCATTCTATAAGTCTTTCATTATAATAGGAAATATATTTAGAATACTTGGGTAGACCAAGTTTACATTATACTATTATAGAATTAGTTTACCTAATCAAACCTGAAAAAAGACTAGATTAGTGCTTTATTACATATGTGGATCCATTTGTTATTTATTTGTGCCTCCTCCTTTGGTAGGCTTCCTAGTTTTTTGTTGTCCCGCCATGTTTGTAACCCACATACTTGTTAACGGCGAATGACGCACCATGGTGCAAAGGTCCTATTTGAGCCATGGCGCATAGCGAACGGCACGACGCGCGCCATTTTGAACATGGCGCAGCTTATAAAATAATTATAAAATAATAAGCATGAATATGCAATATCATTAAACTGAAAGACAAACTTTCATAATAGCAAGCAAACAATGACAATACAAATAAATAACAATCCAACATAATTTCAAGTTCAATAAGTAGTCAATCTTCATACAACTAAAATATATTTAAATGAAAGAAAATAGGTATGGCACGCGCTATTTTGCTTCGCATCTTATTTTTTTTGGATCTAATTCTATATGCTGATGTCTAACACTAAAATGCTTTATTACATACTCGTCAATACTACATAGCGCATGCTAAAGCTCTTCATCATACTGTGTTGCATCTTTTGTTCTATTGTTGTAGCAATGTGTAAATTGTTAGTGCATGCTATATTGCTATTTTGATTTCCTAATGGGTTTTTTAAATTGTTTTGACTGAGTTTGGTTTGAGAGCTAGTGGTGTCTATGAAAGAACCTATAAAATTCAAGATATATGCAATGGAAAAGAAAACGATTATTCATTTAGGCCTTGTATATGACATGAAAATCATCAGGAGATAGTTGTAAAGGAGGTGAGGTTATTTTTGTTTATGATGATGAAAATGATTCTTTGAGTGACTAGTTTAGATTTAATGAATATGACCTTGAAAATGAAGTATTTCTTATGTTTTGAGTTTAAGCTCCAAAGTTTGACATTTTGTCTAAGCATAATAGATTGTGTGATTGCAGCGAGTGCAGTGGAGAGTAGAATAACCATTAAGAAGGCATGAGCTATGTTGATTTGGTTGTCCAGGAAAAAAGATTAGGCCAATTTTAATAATTTAAAAATAATTTAGCCAAATGAGAATCAATTTCAAAATGATTTCTTAATAAAAATGTATAGAAAGGGTTTACAAAGTTGGCCCAAGGATTTGGGAAAAGCTGTTGCTAATTATAAATGAGGATGAAGTATCTATCTTAAGGTTTGATGGCTAGCATCTTTCTTGTTAATGAGGTTCTGGCTCTTGGATAAGGATACAATATTAGTTGAGCTTTCATCATGAAACTTGGTTAGGTTTTTGTGGAAAAAATTAATCTGCATCAATTCCATCTGTGGCTCTATCAATGTTCTACCAGAGTCCAATAGTACCCGACATATTTTATGATTTGCATTATTTTGAAAGTAGCGTGCACCAGACTTTATGAGTTTGGAAGGCTCTTGCACTATGGTGTGATATTCAGTATTGACAAATAGATTGGGCTCTTGTCAGTTCTATGCAAAAATTAAATAAATACTTTTAGGGTTCATTTGGTTGGCTCTAGATAGAAAATATATTTTTGAAATGATGGTTTCAATTTCACTCATGTGGAAGTGAAATTATCACTTTTGAGGGATTTGGAGGTGCTAGTGGAGCTGTAAATACATCCAATTAAAACATAAACCATATGATAGAATCTTACAGTTTTACGGATTTTTAAACACATTTGTAACTTCAAGTTACCCGCAAGCCTTTGAAATGATGGTGTTGACCTCCGGATCAAACCCAAAAGAGAACAAAAAATATAACACAACATACCTCTGCCGGATTCCCCGATATTCTGCCCGAAATCCCTCCAGAAATCCCGCAGAAATCCCGTCAATCGGCGCCGATTCTATCAGATCCCGTAAATCCTGCCCGTAAATCTTGCGACGAGTTCTCGATCGCTGCCCCATTCATGGCTATAAAACGAAGCCGAACGTTCTGCTCTTCCACATTTCTTCCATTCGCTCTCCCGCCTTCTTCCTCTGTCCGACTCCAAGCTCCCGACCCAATACCTCTCCGACCTCCTCTCTTTCCCGCGACCAAATCCCTATCGGAAGCAACGATCGGAACTCTCCCTCTATACTCCAAGCCACTTCCAACTCTCCTCCTTCCCCAAGCCGCAGCCGAGCTCTTTCTCCCAATCTCATACCGTCAAGCCCCTTGATTCAGAGAAACCGAGAGAGAGAGGGAGAAGGACCGACCTACCTCCACCTCCCTCGACGACGGCCCTGTTCTGTCGGATCGGGAGGTACGCCATTTTGATCGGAATCACGAACCGGAGCTCGCCTGTGTGAAGATAACCTTCTCCCGTTCGGACGCTGCTTCGGCCCCATCCGTGGCTGTTCGACTTCGCGCCCTAGACGACTTTCCTTCCTGTTGGGATCGGAAGTTTCAACATTTTGATCAGAAGCAAGCACGGGAGCTCACTGGCTGAAGGTAACTTTCTCCCTTTCCTGCGCTTCCTCAGCCAAATCCCGTAAATCCCCTCAACCGAGAGAGGGGGAGGGATTTAACTATTTTTCTTTTTTTTATATTATTATAAATATTTAGTTAATTATATTTATTATAATTAATTTTATTTAATTTTAATTAAATAGTTATAATTAATTTTAATTAATGATTTTTAATTATTATTAATTATTATTAATTAATTATCATTTATTAAAGTTGATTAATATGAATTAATTATAATTTAATTATAATTAAATCACTTAATACCCAATCATCGAATATTCTCATTTTCATTTCTTTTTGACAGTGAAGGTATTTTCATCTCCTCTCTCTGTGACTGATAAACAGAATCGATACCTGACTCTCGACATCCTAATACTAATCATTTTAAGCACAAATTCTAGTTAAATGACTTATTATTTTAAAATTATTTTTAAAATTATACTTATTTAATTTTTATACACTATTTTTAAATATAAAAACTATAATAAATTGTCCAACCCGTGTCCGTGTCATGTATTTTCAATAACTGACGTGGCTTGTGTCCGTGTCGTGTCATATCTGTGTCGCAGTGTTCGTGTCTGTGCATCATAGACTAATTGTAAAGATAGTTGGTGGTGGTATCAAAATGTGCAAAAAAAGATAAAAAATAAAAAGATTTATTATAAAAATTAGTTTAGATGTAAAAAAATTTGATAATTGAGAAATATATAAAGAGTCCTGTAAGGAGTTTAAGAAAACAATAATTGATGCAAATATTTTAGCTTTTAATTATCTATATAATAGATTAGATATTAATGAGGGCCAAAGATATATGTATAAGTTAATCAAATATAGAGATAAAGAGTAGCAAGGATTTAGTTCAAGTGAATTGTATTAAGGACGAAGATCAAAAAGTGCTTTTAATAAAAAAGGATATTCAACAAAGGTGGATGAGATATTTTATAAACTCTTCAATGAATATTATGAATACGCGATTGACTTTAGTGACCTTAGCTCTCTAAAAGAAAATAAAGATTTTTGTTTTTGTCGGTGCATTAGTAAAAACTAAAGTTAGAGAGGTTTTAAAGAAAATAAAGTGTGGAAAAACTATTGAACTTGATGATATTCCAATAGAGGTGTGGAAATGCTTAGGAGATGAAGGAATTTATTGGTTTACTGAACTTTTTAATATTATTTTGAAGACTAAAAAGATGCCAGATGAGTGGAGAATGAGTTTGTTGATTCTTATTTTTAAGAATAAAATGATGCACAAGATTGTGCAAATTATAGAGGAATTAAGTTAATGTGTCATATTTTAAAACTATGGGAGAGAGTTATGGAGCATAGGTTGAGGCGTGATACTAATGTTTCTCAAAATCAATTTGGATTCATGCCGGGTAAGTACTATGGAAGCTATACATTTATTGAGAGGTTTGATGGAGAAGTATGGAGAGAATAAGGAGAATCTACATATGATATTTATTGATTTAGAGAAAGTATATGATAAAGTTCCAAGAGAAGTTCCATGCAGAGTTCTAGGAAAAAAGGGGTTAATAATGCTTATATTTAAGTCATTAAGGATTTGTATGTAAGAGCTATTACTTGTGCTCAAGCACATGGTGGTTTGCCCAAGTATTTTCCTATTTATGTTGGATTACATCAAAGAACAGCCTTAAGCCATTTTTTTTTTTGCTTTAAACATGAACATTCTCACTAGACATTTGCAAGAGGTTGTACCTTGGTGTATACTTTTTGCTAATGATATTCTTCTTGTTGATAAGACTAAAGTAAACTTGAATTATGGACGTCAACCTTAGAGTCTAAAGGCCTTCGTTTGAGTAGACCTAAATTGAATATACGAAGTGTAATTTTAGTAATAATAGTTCTTATGCAGTTCTTGTGACTTTGGGTGTTCAAGTCATTAGTAAGAGTACACGTTTTAAATATCTTGGGTCTATTGTTCAGAGTGATGGTGAAATATATGAGGATATTATTAGTATAATTCAAGTTGGATGGTTGAAGTGGAGGAATGCGTCGGGCTTGTTGTGTGATAGAAATGTCCCTCTCAAACTTAAGGGAAAATTCTATAAGATGGTGGTTAGACATGCAATGCTTTATGGTGTAGAATGTTGGCCATTAAAAGAGAAACATAATATTAAGTTAAGTTTTAGAAAGATGAGGATGCTTAGGTGGATGAGTGGCTTTACTCTTTGAGATAGGATTTGAAATGAGCATATACGTGAAAAGGTTGGAGTAGCTCCGGTGGAAGATAGGATTAGAGAGAGTCGCCTTAGATGGTTTGTTCACATAAAACGGTGATCTTCCAATGACTTGGTTAGGAAAGTAGATGTATTAGATTTGACTTATGTTAAGATAGGTATAGGTAGACCTAAAAAGGCTTGGCTAGAAAATATTAGAAATAACATTTCTTTATTAGATTTAAATGAGAATTTAACTTTTAATAGGGTGCAATGGAGAAAAAGGATTAATGTGGCCAACTCCACATAGTGGGATAAATGCTTGATGTTGTTGTTGTTGTTGATTTTTAATATGTTAATTTTTTATCAAAATTAACAGCTCTAATTAATTCAATATAAAACCATTTAGATCATGGAATGAGAGTATAAAAAAAAAGGCTTCATAATAGCGCAATAGCACGAAGAAATGGTTTTCTCCAAAATTAGTTATTCATATTTACATCATACTTGATGGAATTATATTTTAAACTAGCAGTCACTATTATTAATATCATTCCTCAAAATACTTATTTGTAGGCTCCTCATTAAGCTAGTAAATATGGTTGGCAGATGGTCAATATAATCCAAGTATTAATTTAATCCCAAAGGATAATAATTCATTTACCCAAACACCTTAATCTTGTCATCCAACATCACAAAAGCCGCAAATCACTCTAGCAGAATTCCCATAGCTTGTGCTAGCATAAATTCCACATGCCTTTACTTAATAGTAACACCAAAAAGATGCTACAGAATTGCATGTACACGTCTACTTGAAGCCATGAAAATTGATTTGCAAAGTAATGAAACCTGCAACATCAACAACTGTCTTAACACAGAAATCGCACAAACGATTCAAACTTCCACTACCAAACATAGAATTCCGAAAGGATAAATCCAACAACCACTGGCAAGGTCTAAGACTTCATTTGGGACAACTTTCTTACTGCTTTGCTTTTAGATCACAACCATAATTTATGTTTGGACATTATTTTTTGCTGCTTTTTAAAAAAAAATTTGTACTAGAAATCTGCTTTCTATAATAGTTTTAAAAATTATTTTCACTACAACAAAAGACAAAGCAGTGGGAAAGCTGTCCCAAACAAAATCTAATTCTAGATAATAATACAACTTCCATTGCCAAACACTTAAAACCAAAAAATAAGGCAAACATCCACCTCTTAAACATATTTCAAGCAATTAAATCCGGAAATAAATAAACCCTACTAGCTACTACAATTACATATTAGAGTAAGCCATTGTGGAAATATCTCAAACTAAGTCAAGTTTAAAATCATACCAAACCATATGAACTAAATTAAGACTAGGAAATAAAAATGCAAGTATCAACTATCATCTCTGTTATGTGCTTAGTTACATAAATGACAAATAAAACATAGTAACTACTTAAAAGAAAACAAATGGAATGTGCTGAGACTATTGCTTGTTTCTTGATGTGATGCTTGCTGTGGGAATAAACGTAAAGATTCCATCAGTTATTCTGTGTTCTTGGATTGCCTGCAATCAGCTTACTGGGTGCATGGCTAGGAAAAAAAATCTATTTGTAAATCTTTAGACCAAATTTGATGATGTAAAAATTAATTAGCCAAATGAGAATCAATTTCAAAATGATCTCTTGATCTATAGATGGATTGAAAGGGTTTACAAAGCTGGCCCAAGTATTTGGGAAGAGGCTGCTCAAATGATAAATGAGGAAAATGTGTTTATTTTAAGCTTTGAGGGCTAGTTTATTTCTTGATAATGAAGTTTTGGCTTTAAGATCACAGTGCAGCTTTAGTTCATCTTTTCATTATGAAATTATGTTTGGCTTTTGCAGATAGAATCAATCTCCATCAATTCCACCTCTACCTCCAATATTCCATTGAGCCCAGCAGTTCTTCTCCATCCTTATTCACTTCATGCCACCTTAGTGATTAGTGAGATTATTATTGCTACCTCATCAATCCATGAATTATCATATATATAATTAAATATCTATTTATATTTCATTCCCTAATTGTTGAATATTTCTTATTAGAGGTTTCCCTATGGTTGTAAAAAAAAAAAAGGTTTCCCTATGTTTGTATAAATTCAACGCGAGATGAAATGAATATAACTCAATGAATTCTCTGCAATTGTTGTCAGTCTTCAATCCCAAAACTTGTAATTTGTGGTATCTTTGGCCTTTGCTTGTATGCCAGACGTATATGCTAGATGTTGATGAAATATGTAAATTTGATAATGGTTAGTATGATAAGATGATATCAACATCATGGAATTAGGTGATTGTTTGAGTGATCTGATGATTTATGGGGCAGGGGAATAGGTAGGACAATTGTTGGAAGTTTTTAGTAAGATCTATTTTGATAACGTTTGATATTGGCTGCATGTAATTAGCAGGTACTGTTACTTTATTGAGTGCACTTTAATAATTACTTCGACTAATTATGGTCTCTGATTTTTTTCCTCTATTTCCCATATCAATTAGATGGCTTAATTCTATTAAGCAATCATTCAACTAAATAGAGTTTTTCTTTGCTTCCTTTTTGTGATTCACGTGGTGCTTAATTTTTAGTTGTCCTAATTACTTTATTGTGTTTTCCAAGTGGCAAAGTAATGATGTGACATTTGCTGTTTCGCAGGATCAAGATAAGTTGATTCACAATCTTAAGACTATTCAGAACTATCTTTGCTCATTTGAGTCTCAGGTAAGGTGATTTTAGGATTTTTCAAAGATGTCCAGTTTGTATTTGTTTATGTTAGCCATCTGTAATCTGAAGATGGGCTCTATAACTTGACAATAATAATCCTTTTATGCACTTGGCATGTAGTATTCTTGTTTTATCAATTTGTCTTGAACTCAGTAGACATGCAAAGTTTCTCAAAAACTTTTGTAAGTGGGTAGCTCTTGATTTGTTGTAGCCTAAACTGAGAGTTAATCAAATTGCATTGCAAGAAGCTGGCACAGGAGTGTGCTTGAACTGGATTTGGCAAAATTATTCTGTGCGGAGTCCGGACATAGCACTATGTCCGGACTCCAATAAAATCATGAAATGTGTCTTGTATATGTGGATAATTAATTCTATTTTGTTTTTTATTTTTTTTGTCAGCCCGACTGACCCAACCCATATATTTCCTGCTCAAATTTAGAGTTTAGGAATGACGTTCTTTTTTTAAATGAAATGTCCGCGAAAGATCTCAAATATATTTGCGGAATAAAACATTTGATACATGCTCTCTATATTTCTTGCTCAATAAGCATTTTATACCTACTGAGTAAGAAGAAACAAGGAAAGACCGATGAAGATTAAGACTAGTTTGGAGGAGGACGTTCATTGTTCAAGCAGATGATATGCTCACAAGACACGGAGTATGAAATATTTAATGTTTTTGCAATGGGGGAGGCCGGGCCGAATTTTTGGAGCCAACATTTTCTGATTTGAATTTTTTAATATTATAATATATAGGTAGATTGTAGTTGTGGCTGGGAATGGGACGGAGATGGGGTCTGCGTCGAGTCAGATGGGAAGTCGAGCAGGTGGAGTCGATTGATGTTTCGGGCTCAATTGAAGGAGAGAGGGCAAGCAGATAGGCACGGGTTTTGGGTTGGAATCGCGGGAGTGGGCACAAGCCGGGTCTGTGAGGTTGAGTGAATGATCAGGCATCCGGGATTGTGAGGGATAGAGGTGGCTAGGTCGGGGTCGGTGATCGTGGCTAGGGGCGGATGGCTGGGTCAGACTTCTTTGCGTGTTGTTTCAAGCGAACGAGAGGGATCATGCGCGTCTTCTTTGCATGCGACTGAGGGAGACGAAAGTGATCGTGTGCACCTTCTTGGGTGCGGTTGAGGGAGACGAGTGAGAGGTCAAGCGGGTGGTTCTTGCGTGGGGAGAGTCTAATTGATTCGAACACTTCCTACGTGCGATCTTGTGGAAACAAATGGGCGGTTGTGGTGTTTGGGAGAATTGTTGCGTCGTTTGGGAGTAAACTGATGTGAGGTGGGCTAGTGTTCAACAGATCGTAGAAATCAATGATTTGAGCTCAAACTTTATCATAGGTGTATTTCGATTAGATCTATGATTGATTATATATCTTGCATGATTTTTTATGAGGTCTATTTCTAGACATCTGGGAGTACTATCTGCATTTATGTGATGTGAACTTTTTTTTTTTATCATGAATAACATTTTTCACTTATGCTTAAGGTCAATGTCTATCATATCAATCTTAACTTACGTTCCTGGTCCACCCTGTGAACTATGCTCTCTCCCTCCCATTTCTTTATAACTTTCTCAAGGTATGGGAGCTTATGGTTCTTCCTCTCTGGTGATTAGTCCTTTTTTAGGACTCTTGATTTTGTTAGTGTCTAATCATAAGTACTTTTATCATCATATCTACAAGTAGTTTCTACCTATGGAGATGTTAGTCTAGATTCTGCCAGCAAACCAGGGGTTGATAAACAATGAATTCCTTATACGACTTATAGCTTAGTAACCTTTGGGCCTTCTGGGGATTCATCCATGAGCTGCCTTTCTTATTTAGGAATATCTAAGTGGAGTTTAATGCTGCAAGTCACAGGGTTTATTACTCGACATAAGTTATTTATTCTTGCTTGTTAATATTCCACCAGTTTTATGCTTGATATGACTTGAGAACTAATTGTTGCATGAACTGATTTTGAGTGGCTCATGGGCTGCAAAAAGGTACATTTAATTGGCTCTTAAATAACTTGTCAGTTGTAATGGAGATGCTATCAATTTTTGTAAGTCAAAAAGGCATTTTTTTCAATAGATGAAATTTGTCAGATTCACCCATTTGTTGGTTTTAGAAATCAGCATGATTTCTAACTCCACAAATCTCTCCATATGACAATTTTCTTTTGACACACTAAGTAAAAAAAAACTAAAAATGAACTATTGTAAACATTGTTTAAATTATCTTAAATGAAAAGTTGATTTGTTTTATGTTAAAACATACTTCCAATCTAGCCTGTTGAATTAGTTCTATAATTACAACATTTCAAATAGCATGTTTTGTACATTTATGGTTTTTGATTAGCATCTGACCAAATAAGCCACTTAGAATGCGCTCCACTATTGCCTTTACAACATTTATTGGAGTTTTTAGTTGTTTTTTATCACATTATGTGCATGTAAAACATCAGTGGTGTCCTATGTTTTCTATGACTTATTCTAAATGTATGTAAATGAACGTATTTCAGAAAATTTGTGGCAAAAAGGAAATATTGAGTAAGATTTATTACCTGGGTATTTAAGTTTTCATGGGGCTTTCTTGTTATGTTTTTCCCATGATGTACATTGACAAATTTGAGGATGTCAAGTATATGAGCTTGAATGACCAACCACTTTATTATTCAGATAAATAAAACAGACAAGAAAAACCTTTTATTAAATCTTGTGCTTTATCACTTCCCAGATATCTATGTTTGCAAAGCAGAGATGTAGGCTACATTTGGGATGGCTTTTTTATTGCTTTTTAAAACAAAGTTTTTGTACAAAATTAAAACTTTTTGTACTATAAAATTCCGTTTTAAGAAGTAATAAAAAAGCCGTCCCAAACGAAGCCGTAATGATGATATATATTTGTTATTCCGATCTGCTTTTGATCTCGGATGCAGGGCTTGACAGTTGTTAATATTTCTGCAACTACATTTCCCCAGACATTGGATCGGCTTCACAACTATCTTCTTGAGGTACAAAGTGTCTTGAATGGGACAGCCCAATATTTTCATATGCTATTTCCATTTACTTTTAATTTCATGATGAATCTTTCTGTTATTTTCTACTGAATTCAAATTGACGTGCATCATTTAAGCTCAAAAAATGACAGAAAAAAGAAAATGGAGGAAAGAGGAATTAAGAGAGTCGTAGAGTGTAGGAGACAGGAGACGAGGAGAGTTCAATGAATACCTATGGGAGAGATGAGATGATTGGGACGTAGAAGAAGAGATTCGGGATTAAGGAGTTGTTATGAGGGAGGAAAAGTGTTTTTGAGGGTAGTAAATGAAATAAGCCAAGGAGACTGAGGGTGGGTGGAGTTAGGATTATAGCATTGGAGGAGAATGGAAAGAAAATTTTCAATACTCCATAACAAACCTTGGGATCCAATTTATAGAAAATTACCATATGAATAATAGCTTAAATTTTCACAAATAGATAAACTTAAATCAATTTAAATAAATTCATTAAAAGACCTTAAACAAGCATTACTAAAATGCCTCTAATAAATGAAATAATATCATCATTATATTTTCAAAACCTAGAAATTTGCTTTAAGGTTTTGCGCTTTTTTTTTTTTCGTGCAAATTTAGTCCCTTTTAATTGTTTATATCAGAAAATTGTAAATGACAGCAAAAACTTCCCTTACAAGAGAGGTCTATAAGGCTACACTTTGCATTTGCCATGCCCATTATAATTATGTGCGGACGACGAACGCGTCTGGATGCCAATTAGGAGCCACCATATCATTCAATGCACAGTGCATTACGTGATGTGGCGGCTTCTTATTGGTCTCCGAACGCGTTCGGCGTTTACACATAATAATCTCGCGGGGGGATATCTGTGTTTTAAAAAATATAAATGCATATTCTTTCTTGGCTCATATGCCAATAAGTTCATTTCGAATGTTTACACAACACTTATATTTTCAAATTCTAAGCTTCATCTGTCTTGTTGGCCGTATGACCATATGAAACCCCATATCTAAATTTTATCCAATACTTTACTGAAATGTTATACTCAGAAATCTTATCATGTTTGTGGCTTAAAATTATGATGATTTGTCTGTTTTCTACTATTTTTGTCTTACAAAATCTTCAGTAGTTAAGTTTCGTTTGTGACAGCTTTCTAACTGCTTCTTAAAACAGCGTTATAGTACAACAAATAAAATTTTTATACTAAAAAGTTAATTTAAAAAGCAGCAAAAAAGCCGTCCTAGTCGAAGTCTTTAATCTTCTTTGTTTCTTACTACAGTGCATTGAGCGTGGTGTTTCTGCTGCATCCTCCACTACTCAAATCCAATCTGAAGGGAATTAGACACTTGCGAGACTCTAAATGTCCTCTACCCCAAAGTAAAAACTTATTGTGTCACTTGTTTCAATTGATCCATATTTTGTAACATTTTCATGGAGGTACTCAGTGCCTTATGGTGTTGCTTAGCAGCATTTCAGTATAGAAAGTATCGCTAAAAATATATAAATAGTGTAAAATGTATGTTAGCATTATTTAGTGTAAAATTGTAGTCTTTGTAACATATGATGAACTATTTTAAGAAATTTGTTCCATTTATTTTGGCCTTTTGGTTTAAAACGTAGGTTTCGTTTGGGACAGCTTTCTTACTGCTTTATAAAACATCTTTTTAGTATAAATATTTTGTTAATTTGAAAATTTTAAATTAAAAAGTTGTTTTGATCTGGTTGAGTGTTTTGATCTGATTTTTAAATGGGTTGGATTTGGATTTGACCAGCGAACCCATTATTTACTTGAAAATAACATGTTTGATATTTTTTTGCATGTATGTATAATATTTTTATTTTTTTATTAATTATCCTAAATTTATAATTAATAAATTATATCAAAAAGTTTCCTTTTAACAAAAAAGGGTTATTAGATTATGTTCGGGTCATTTGGGTTAATCTTTTTGATTCGTTTATTAAGCAGGGTGGTTCAGGTTGATTGAATTTATGTCGGGTCAATTTTTGGTCAAGCTTAAACTTGACCCGTAAGTTTGTTTTGACACTCTTATTATTTTATAAATCATTAATCTCAATGTAAGTGAAATCTTAGTGATGTATTTTAGGTAGGATATATTGGCATATATTTTCTCTTAATGAACTATTTTCTCCCAAAATCTCCAACATCAACAAGACAAGCTAAATATTATCATAGTTTATTTCAAACTTGGCTAATCTATACATCCAAATGTCAACAGATTTGTATATATATTAAATACAAAAATTTTACAAAAAAAAAAAAAAAATTCATATAAATCAAAACTTTAGGATCTGATTAGGATCTTAAACATGCAAGTAATTTTATCTTAATATTTACTTAGAATATCTAAAACACAAAAAATATCCCTCCTATTCAACTTCTGGACTCAACTTTAACTCCTTTAGACTCTGAGACTAAGGTTTCATTTGAGACGGCTTTCTTTCTGCTTCTTAAAGTAGCTTTTTAGTACAAAAATTAAAATATTTGTACTAGAAAGCTGTTTTAAGAAGCAATAAAATGTCGTCTCAAACGAAGCCTAAATTAACTCAATTTTCAATAGTGGAGAGATTAAAATGGGGCAATGCAAAACTCTTGGACTAAATTACATATTTATTAATAGTTGGAGGACTACTTTGAACTTTTACTCCAATAAACCACAACATATAAACTAATAGATTGGATTTCAACAACAAGATTCCAAGACCCATTCTCCAACATGAGATACAATAAAATAAGCGGGCTTATTTCATTTGGACTGAAGATCAAATTTTTATTACTTCCATCTGCCATTAAAGAGCTTCAGCTTCATGCCCATCAACGTGAGCCTTCTTCATCAGAGCTTCAACATATTCCTTCCTATTTAGCAAAACCAGAGAGGAGTAATGGAATCCAATACATCAAACAATGTGGAAAACAGAATTTGACAATTTGAGCTTTCAAAGGAAAGAAAAAAAATCAATCTGACCTGACTCTGAGATCTTCATTAGGCCTTTCATAAGCTGTTAAGAATGGTTCACCGACGGAGAAAAGGCGAACGGCCTAGAAGATTATTGATGCTTATTAGTGATTAATATGCAAATTCTGTGCAGGAGGAGAGTTTTGCATCTTAAAATTGCACAATTGAAGATTTACACATATATAAAAGAAGCTTATAAGAGAAACTAACAAATTATTAGGCTTGACTTAGGTGAAATAATCTACTATGTAGATGTTGATTGTAAAAAGTTGCCTTTATGTTTAACTTAGAGAAGAGGAGATTGCAATGTCTAGATTGTTTGTTTGACTTCCTATGAATGTGGTGAAAAATTGGAGAAACAATGTTGGATGAAAAACATAGGTGTTGGTTGGAGAATATGAATTGTTATTGGTCTAACTGGCAAAAGATAACGATGGTTGGGTGATGGAAACTACGTGATGATCATCGAGAACCACTAGGAAAATGTTCGATTTCCGGCTGAAAAATTACATTTATGCTGAATTTGCAATGGAAAATTATCTGCCGTTAATAACCGTGCAGGAACAAAATTTCCGACAAAAAATCAGGCAAAAATTTTTTCCAAAAAATTTCCAGCAAAATATATCTACCAAAAAAAAAAAAAAAAAAAAAACCCCGAAAAATCCGCTCGGCCTAATTCACCCTTGCATGCTGACACCCCCAGGAAAAGCCCCCGAAAAATCTGTTGAAAAATCAGTCGAACATATTCAATCGCAATCCGCCGGAAATCTGTTGGAAATCTGCCGGAAATCTGACAGAAAATTGTCTGTTGAAAATCCGTTGGTAATTAACATATTTCTTGTTGTAATCTATCATATGAAAGAGCTCTACGATTCTTAAGATCTTTAAACTTTCTCTCATTTCAAGTATCATTAATGTAATGAATTTGTGTGTATTATAATTTTTTAGAATGTTGCTTCAGTTATCTTAGCCAACATCCCAAATGCCATCCGACAACCTATGCTAATTTCCTTAATCATGCAAGATCTTTTAGACATTTAAATGCTTTAATGACATCGAAATTGAGAATTCTTAGGCTCATGCAATTTTTCTTGTCGAGACCCTCACTTAAATAACAAATATGAAAGATTTCAAGATTATTTGATTTCTCAAAATCACATTGAGTGCTTGATTTAGATCCATTTAGACTCAAATAAATGAACCTTTGGTGATGTTAGATTTATGTAGGAAAAATTATTATGTGCGGGTGCCGAATGCCGTCCGGAGACAACCCATAATGCGCCACATCACCCCTTACCCGGTACAACGGCTCTGTACTGCTCGGTACCACTTGGAACCGCTAACATGACTACACCTGATTTGCCTTCGGAAGTAAAGCTGCGTCCAATATCCGCACAGATTAATTTATCTTTATTATGTAGTCCTTGAAGGACGTCTAAGATTTGAAGTTTTTTCAAGTTTTGGGTTCTGAAAAAATTACTATGAAAATAAAGTAATAAAAGCTCCCAAATTGCCTAAAATAATATTTATAGGCACTGTTGGGTTCCAAGGTGTCAAAATTAAGTTTAAAATAATGAAAATTTGTTTCAATGGTCCCAAAAATGACCAAATAGGCTTGGTTGGGCTCAAGATAGGGCCTGGCGGGGGACCAGCAGGCCGACTCAAGTGTGCAAACAACCACCATTTTTCTTTTTTCCTAGTAAAATCTAAATGTTTTGATTTCTTCTTTATTTATTTTCTTTTTTAGGAAATAATTTTAGTTTTTATTTTTTAATAAATTCCTAAAAATTTGTAAAAAAACTCTCAAAATTTTCGAAAAGGCCCAAAATCTTTTGTAAAATTATAAAAAAAATTCTAATTCATCTCCTCCTCAACTTTAAATACTCCTATGAGCAAAAGAAAAGTTATAATTCTCCTTAAATTCTCCTCAATAAAGAGTTCTGATTTTGTCTTGCAAAGAGGTAGAGCTATTAGTGATTTTTCAGATTCACAATCCTTCTAATGGTGCTTCTGTCTTCCTCTTAAGAAAGATTTGATCCCTCATTTTCTTCTTGAGAGATTCAATTGTCAGCAAAATTTGCTGTCAATCATGAGTGAGTTGGAATTACGTACTTATCTTTGCATGTCCCATTTTTTTCTAAAATAAATATGTCTATGTTATCATATGATCAGTCACAGTATAAGAACATTTGATAAATGATCAAAATATAAGAACATTTGATCAGAAAATGCAAAACCAGTGATCAGAATCGTTGCTTAATTATCTGTCTTCCTTAATTACCTTTATGTAGTTGGTTCTATCAAGTGAAAACCGGTGATAAATTCCTGCAGGTAAGGCAATAATACAGCCCTTCTTTGTTGCTATTCTAATCCAACAGTCTCTCTTATCTCTCACATCAAAATAACCTACAAGAAGAAGCAAAGCCATATCTTCTATATGAACAAGCAGCGCAATTATTCAGAAAAAAAATCAGAATAATACCACTTCCTTCAGCTATATAATGAGTCTCCTCTTTGTCATGCAGATGTTCCTTGAAGAACTTCTTCACATTGATCTCATAATTTGGTAGCTTTTCAGGGCTTACTTCTATTACAACCTGAGAAGAAAAAGACACTTCCATCAATGCCCAGTTCAGTTTTTACTAAGGTCAGAAATACATCCATGCCTGCTGAGTGTATCCCTTTGCCGCACAGAAGTTTTTCAGATCTTCATTAACTTCATCTTCTTCTTCCTTCAATTGCCAGCTGAGAACTCCAAGTTCTAAAAAGGTAAAATATAAGAGAAAAGAAAGAAAAAGAAAGAAATGATGTGTTTGGTGTTTTGTATATGGAAGATATTTATTCATGAAAAATATACTAAGTACACTATAGAGAATGAAGTTGACCTTTAAGTTGATCTGAGGAGACAAATACTTTTGGTTCAAGGTGATGAGGGAGCCTATGGTCCTCTATGCTCTCATCCATGTACCATGCTTCCATGGCATCATGATTGTTGTCATCATACTGAAGGAATCAAGCTTAATTAATTACAAATAAAAAAAAAAAAAAAAAAACAAAGTAATATCAGCATCTCTAATATGTTTTGAACAAACAAAAAGTGGCTCTTAATAATATCATTTGTGCAAAATATTTATGCTTGAATTCATAGCATGAGTAAAGCACTTCTGATATTAACCAAAAGTTGATATTACTCTACAATACTTTAAATTTATCTTGATGGGATCTGAGAAGTGTTGTTACAATCAAAGAATGGTGATGAAAAAAATCCGAATTAGCTCTAAAATAACTATCATTTAGGAGTACAAAAAAAAACTAAGATAACAAAATTATTGATCTAGTTTTTCCTGTCATTCTCTATAACAATTAAACTCTACTCGGCCCCTCAAAACGATTTCTATCTCAATTTTCAATTCTAGTCAATCAAGATGAATAATATAGTTGATAGGGAGTAGCATTGTCAGCTCCTACTAATCATGAGCTATCTATTTCTCTAAATGCAAGAGGATCTGCATTTTGTGAGGCTACTTTTTTATCGAAATATTTCTTCCATTGTCTCCTTCTCTAGTCAGATCGAGCATATCACAATTCTATTACTGATCATTTATTCTCACCAAAAGTCCTCTTGCACTCAATTTCTCACGAATTTAGAAAGATCATAATTTCATCTATGAAAATATTAGATCCGAAGATGATCTCTCCATGAACTCGATCCATTACTTAAAAGGAACTTTTATAGAGTTGGAAGTGTTAGAGTCAAGAAGAAATATAACAGGGAGACACCATATTTTAGCACCACATTAGTTTGTTTCTTATATTAAGGCTATGTATGTAAGAGATGTTATTTCTGCTCAAACACAAGGTGGTTTGACCAAGTATTTTCCTATTTCAGTTGGATTACATAAAGGATCGGCCTTAAGTCTATATCTTTTTTACTTTGACATTTGCAAAGAGGTTTTTGTTGATGATATTCTTCTTGTTGATAAGACTAGAGAGGGAGTTGAAAGTAAACATGAATTATGGAGGTCAGCCTTAGAGTCTAAAGGTTTTCATTTGAGTAGATCTAAAATCAAATATATTAAGTGTAATTTTAGTAGTAATAGATCTAGTGGGGGATTGTTATTTTGGACAATCAAATTATTAATAAAAGTAAATGTTTAAAATATATTGGGCATACTATTCAAAGTGATGGTGAAATAGATTATATTTATTAAAGGAATTCAAATTGGATGGTCAAAATGGAGAAATGCATTGGGCTTGTTATGTTAGAGAAAAGTCCCCCTCAAACTTAAGGGAAAAGTTTATAAGATGGTGGTCAAGCCTACAATGCTTTATGGCTTAGAATGTTGGTCATTAAAAGTGAAGCATAATATTAAGTGTTGCAGATAAGAGGATGCTCAGGTGGATGAGTGGCTTACTCTTAGAAACATGATACAAAACAAGCATATACATGAAAAGGTTGGTGAGTAGCTCTAGTGGAAGATAAGATTAGAGAGAGTCACCTTAGATGATTTGTTCACATAAAACGATGACCTTTCGATGAGCCAATTATGACAGTAGATGTATTGTATTTGACTCGTTTTAAGAAAGGTAGAGAAAGACTTAAAAAATTTCTGATTAGAAACTATTAGAAATGATCTTTATTTCTTAGATTTAAATGAGAATTTGACTCTTAACATGACACAATGGAGAAAAATGATTCATATAGCCAAGCTCACGTAGTGGGATAAAGCCTTGATGATGTTTGTTGTTGTATTAGTTTCAGTTAGTTTCTCCTTCTCCTTATACTTTGAAATTGGGTTTTTACTTTACTACTTTTTGATATTTTTTTCTTTTATTTCTTTTTTAAGAATGTTGACTGGTTAGTCGTATGCACGATCCAATCTGCCCTTCCATCGACCCATTCGTGTCGAGTGTAGAGGCCTACGATCGTTTTGTCCTACGGGATAGTGCGGCCGTACCCTCTGCGTTCGTACCCCACGAGCGGTGCTCCTTTGGAGGTCCACAAAGAACTAAATTTCTTTATTCTATATTTTCATCTTGGTATGAAAATACTCTTGTTCTATAACTATATTTCTTTGTTTTCATAGAATTGGAGGTGTTAGAGGCAAGAAGAAATGTTGAAGGAAGGCACCACATTTTAGCACAATACTAATTAGATTCTTAATGAGTAATGGAAACTGACTACAGTGAGTTTCTTCTTATGCTTTAAATTTGAGCTTTTACTTTTATCAAATTTTGATATATTTTTCTTTTATTTATTTTTAGAACTAAACTTCTTTGATTTATATTTTCATTAAAGTAATGAAAATATTATCATTTTGATTAAGTAAAAATTAGTATAATATTCAATTCTAGGATGATCAAATTGTTTAGCTTCTTTAAGTCCTTTCACCTTTCACAATTATGAGCACTAATAGGAGACCTCCAACATGTTCAAATCAACTTAATTTTTTTTATTAATTTTTTTTAATGCTTCATCATCTTTTTTTTTTCCTTGGACATTCCCATACATACTCCTCCTAAACCATCTCTTAATTACAAATTACTTCAAGAATAAATTTGAAAATTATTGATTTATTTTGAGATTAATACAATACAAGCTATTTATATATAACACTAATCTCAAAATAAATCTATTAATTTTTAAAAGATAATTAAGTCAAGTAAAATAAAAAAATTTCCTTTTTCAAAACAAAGAAAATCAATTAGTTTTTCATGAAATATTATCCCAATAATTTGCAACATGAAGTCTCTACTTGATTATTTAAATAGTGGCAGAGCCAAAAATTTTCTTAGTGAGGGCAAAAATTAGATAATTTAAATATTGTTTTAATTTTTTCAGGCCGACATTAATAAAAAATAAGATACATGATAATAAAAAACTTATAATTTATAATACATACTCTTTATATTTTAAAAGTGTTAAATGATTATTTTATCATTAATACAATCAAATATTTTTTTCTTAATATAAGTGATTAAATATATATTTATACATCGATCAATCTTTAATTTTATTTGGTAATTAATTATTATAATAGTCATAATAGAAAAAAAACTCTTTTAATTTATATTACATGTATTAATTTGCATATACGTGAAAAGGTTGGAGTAGCTCCAGTAGAAGATAAGATTAGCTAGAGAGAGTCGCCTTAGATGGTTTGGTCACATAAAACGGCGGCCTTCCAATGACCTGGTTAGGAGAGTATAGGTATTAGATTTGACTTATGTTAAGAAAGGTATAGTCAGACCTAAAAAGAATGACCTTTCTTTATTAGATTTTAAACGAGAATTTGATCTTTAATAGGACACAATAGAGAAAAAAGATTCATGTAGCCGACCCCACGTAGTGGGATAAATGCTTGATGTTGTTGCTGTTGTTGTTGTATTAATCTTAAAATAAATTATAAATTTTTTAGTTTATAAACATCTAATTTTATTAAATAAAATATTTTCATTCATAAAAAGTAGGCTTTATAGCCATCTATATTTATTGGAAAAATATAATAAATCTTATTCTCAGCACTCCAATATACTTCAATGAGAAGAAGAGAAGAAGAAGAAGAAAAGAAAACGCTGAGATAATAATACCTTAGAAGCTGAGGCAGCCATTACTTTTTCTTCCTCTCTTTCTTTTATCTGCTGAAGAAATTCCTACCGCTTTAAATAACGAGGGACCGAAGGCGGAAGTCCAGGCTTCGTCCGGAATCCATCTGCCGTCGGAGCACATTAGTAAATCAACACCACCCAGTCACCCGAAACCACGTGTACTGACAAGAGAGATAAAGTCGAGAGTTTTCTAATTCCGCGGAGAAGCATACAAGTGTGAACGCTCGCGTTCACACTTCATTTATGTAGCGGGCCGAAGATAATGGAAGGCCTGTCTATAGTCATTGTTCTATCCAATTTTGTGCTGTTTTTTTAATGCGAGAAAGAAAATAATGACAAATACCAAATCCTGGAGAGCGTTCATACTATAAAACGATTTCTCTTTCATAATTTTATATTTGATATATATCTAATGGGTATAAATTTTTTTGTATTATTTTTTATCAAAATTTTTTGAAATTAAATTTATGATTATTGAAGTCTTATTTCAATAAATTTATAATCAAATTGAATGTCTTGATAAGATGAACCAAATAATAATATTTGTTGGAATTTCTTGTACGAGGAAGAGCTCTCATTCTTGATCTTGAATGCTAGAGAGCGAGAAGAGAGAAGAGATGGAGAGATGAACTGTTAGAGGAAAATTATTTAAAGCTTTATTTTCTTTTCTCCAACCCTTACATCAACCGATACATTATATTTATAGGAATTTATAAAGTGTGATGTCATGCATGAACAACTTAATTTAAAACCGGACCACAATCCAATAATACTAAAGTTGATTTGATCTGAGTCATAATGTGCAAAATCATGCATATGAATTATGGTTAAGAAGTTTAGGATATGATCCGAGTCATAATGTGCAAAATCATGCATATGAATTATGGTTAAGAAGTTTAGGATATTCATTGAAAAATCAAATGATCATCAAATCTTATAAACCTATAGTCAAATCATGTGGCTTGATGAGATGAATCTTATTGACTCAAAATCATTCCTTTTGAGGGTCGCTAAGATATTAAATGCTGAGCAATCAATTTATGATCAAATAATTCAATGTGATTCATTTTATAGTTTAATGAAAAAGTTTAACGAGATTTATCCATATATCACTTTTATAATGCTACAAATAGACCTTTATTCTCAACATGAAGGAGATATATAAGATTAGAAAGAGCTCGCACCAACGTCGCTCGTCAACTACGGTCCTCCAACCACTTTAGTTTGACTACATTCCTTCGACCATCATCATTCAACTATGGCCCCTTCGACCTTTATCACTTGACTATATCCCTCCTATCATTATAGTCTGACTATGACCCTAATGACCTCAGTTGCCCGCCAATAGTAGTCCTCAGAGCATCGTTTCTTGACTACGATCCTCCGATCATCGTTTCTTGACTACGATCCTCCGATCATCGTTGCCAGATTATCACTGTAGGAAAACACATTATTACCATCGGATTTCATCCGCCAGTAACATGAAAATTTTGACGAAAAAAGGTTGTTTCCCGTCGAATTTCTGTCGCATTTCCATCCGACGGTAATTCACGCGTCGGTAAATAGCTTCCGATGTAAATATTACGTTAGAAATGTTTCCTGCAGACTTTCCGGTGCAAAACCGACGAAAAATAGTTTGTGGTTACGTCATTTCCTTCTGTCTTATTTTAGTGTAACATTACGCTGGTAGTGCCGGTGAATAAAACGTCGCTATGTAAGCCAAAAAGTATACGACAAAGATAACATGCACATTATACATAAAAAAATTTGGCGTAAATAATGCGCCGAAAATTGTACATAATTCTTTTTATCGTTGTCTCCGGTGGATTACCGGCGTATGATTCATAGGAAACCTATGTTCACCTCATTAGTGAACTAAAATATTAATGTCTTTCTTCTTTGTGCCAATCAGTTGTACATCCAACTTCTTTGAAATCTAATACCCATAATATAGCCTACATATAATATGAAGCTATTAGATATTGTTAGAAAATCTTTTAAAGACAAATAGATAAATTTCATTTTTTTATTGATTTTCTAAAGATATTTTCGCAGGAGATATTTTCACGGCCATGATCTTCAATCCTAAAGCAACTCTCTCACTCTCTCTAAACATAATTTGCACATCTTATTCTAGAACCCTTGCCTAAGAATGAGGGGAATTTTATATCTCCAAATTATAAGTCTAACCACATCTTGCAAACATCAACTCCCTCTCAAGTCTCACCACATATTCTACACATCAACTCCCTCTCACATCTCATCACATTCATCTATTTTAACCATCCAATTTGAATTCTACTAACAATATACAGATCAAATCCCTCTCTAGACTCAAGAAGAAGAATATCATGAACAAAATGCATATATCATCATACAATATTTTGTTGATGTCTACCAAGAAAATCCATGGAAAAAAGAAAATCTTAATTTGGATTTTTGTCAAAAGAACGGTGGAAGTCGGTGACTGAGGCAGTGAACATCGACGAACTTGGTCGAAGTCCATTGGGTGATGGGTCAGTATCGACAACGGCGACGTTCGGCTGAGGCGACGGAGGCGAGCTGAGCGAACGAAAACGATGAAAAATGAAATGATAAGTCAGATGGTTTCGGGAGAGAAATAGAGTTTCAGCCAGCGGATTTTTCGGTGGCTAGGATGCCAGATCCTTTTCTGTAGAACTATTAGACGGAAAGTATTCGTCGTGTTTAAATACACCAATGTAATATCCATCGGTGAGTACGTCGTAAAGTACCGGCAAAAAATATGCTGCATTATAATAAGGGTGTTACAAATTTCGACGTCTTTAATGGTAGATAATGCGTCAGATATTTACCGGTGTAATATACTCCGGAAATACCGCCGTTATGTTACTGTCGAATAAATCGTCGATTCGAACGCCGTAATTTTCAGTGTATATTTTTCTGCTTGAAGCTCCGAAGGTTATAAATGGTTTTCTTGTAGTCTATAGCCCTTTTGACTTGCGTTGCTCGTTGATTATAGTCCTTAAGTATCATGGTTCTCTGATTACAATCCTCATATCATTATTATCCGACTATGATTCTTAGAGCATCATTTCCTGCCAATTACTATCCTCTAACTACCATTGTTAGACTACAGTCCTTCTGACCTTTGTTGATTGATGATGGTCCCTTCGACCACCCTTACCCGACTACGATCCCATCGATATCAGCCACCCCACTATATTCCCTCAGACCATCTATCAGCCAAATAAACAAGCCAATGATATCTTAAGAATAGGTCTCATGCCATTGGATTCACAACTAAAAAAAAAGATGTTTTCATAGCAGTTCACACGAGCAGTTTGAAAACCACAGCTATAGTTAAGTTTAGGCAGCCTTTTAATCTGTCGCTAAGTATTTAGTCTAAACCGCTATTTTTACTCACCATAATCCTTTCCCTCATTTCCCCACTCGATCAAGCCCTAGCCGTCATGTGCACGATATCCTCCTCATGCAAGCTTCTCCTCACACAACGGCTTCCCTGATTTGGATCAAGCCCTAGCCATCTCATGAGCTTCTCCTCACGCGAGCTTCTCCTGAGCCAGCGACTGAGTCAAATTCTTTTTTGAATGATTGTTTTGGATGGCATAATGGTACATTGGTTCCACAAGACATTTATGTTTTTCTTAGCTCTTTTATCAGGTTCAAAATTTATACCTAACAACACATCCTTTAGACAATGGCAAGAACTTTGAATTTCAACAGAGAAAACAAACTTTGCGCTTCTCTTTAAAACATAAAGTTTGAATGCTCTAATCCAGCTAGCTGATTGCATTCATATATTCTTAAGAAATTCTAGAAGACCACCATAAAACTTGATTGTTTTCGTTTTCATGCATTCTAAAGATAAACTAATTCCAGATATTTTTTTTTTCATTCTTAGTATTGGTAGATCACATAAAAGTGCAGATACATATAATCAGTTTTGAAAGTTAGTGTTACGTGCAAAAATAAAAGGAGTAAAGGTCAAACGATTAAGTATTTTGATACTAATATTTTAGTTTGAAGTAGATGTTTAAGCTTATAGTAATTAGTATATAATTAAACTTATGTTCCATTAAGTTAGAGGAGAAAATGAACATGTATATATGGTTAGTGGAGTAGGGTTAAGGGCCTGTTTGGTTGCTGCTTTAATGCAATGTTTAAAGGCTTTGTTAAGGACAATGTTTTTACTACTTAAAAATAGTTTTTTAGTATAAAAATTAATTTTTTTAAAAAGTTGCTTTAAGAAGCAGTAAGAAAGCTATCCCAAACGAAGCCTAGGAGGGTATTTCATAGCAGGTTTTGCTTGAAATTTCTTCTGAATGAAACAAAGATATACTTGTGTAAAGCTTTGTTCTTTCATTCATGGTAGATTTTAGTTTGTCGCGAACATCGTAGTCAACCCGAAGGAAGATCGTCAGCTCATGACCAGATTACATATAGTTGGTGATATTTATTGCTTGGACTGCCATGAGATTTTGGGTTGAAAGTATGAAAAAGCTTATGAAGAGTCACAAAAGAACAAGGAAGGTAAATTCATACTTGAGAAGCTAAAAATTGTAAAAGAGAACTGGCAACTGTTTTAGTGGTTTTGTTTAACATTGTTTGTCTCCTTATAACTTATTAAACCATCAGTATATATTTATTGGTTTTGTCCAGTTTACTTATGTGTTTTCTTGCATCTTCATTACCAAATAGCTATGTATTATATTATGTTATTTTGCCTATAAATAAATTACTATCCTTTCAAAGATTATGATATTTTTTAACTTTTTTGAAAGCATTTTGATGTTGATCTTATGTGAACATGAAGCCTAATATATTGAGTTAGCTCACAAGAATGAAATGTTTTTTTGCTTCTTTTCCTTAATGATCTATTCAATATAACATAACTCAAAATGAAAGCATATATTGTATATATTTACTGAATGCTTCATGAAGGATATATCATGCTATCTTGTTAGGTAGAAGATGAAATTTTCTTGGGTTAAAAGGAAAATATATGAATCAAATAGATTTTAGATACTTTTTTTGTCTAATATGAATAAAATCATGAATAGTTTAATTTATTCTTAAATGTTAAAGGGTTAAA